GCGCTGTAGCTCAAGTGGTAGAGCGCTCGCCTTGAGCTGAAGAGCTGAGGGACAGCGCCCAGGCCCAGAGTTCAAGCCCCACAACTGACAAAAAAAAAAAAAGCCATTCTGGATGTGGTGGTGAGCACCTGTCATATCAGGAGGCCCAAGTAGGAGAGGTTAGTCTAGGCCAACCCAGATTTAAAAAAAAAAAAAGCTCTCCAAGTTGCTAAGTCACCAGCAGCTCCCTTTCTGCCACCTTTGTATACCCTACAAAGTTTAGCAGGATGTGCACAAAGTATTTATTCCCCGGGTGCACGGAGGAGGGGGGGGGTGGCAGAGAGAGACATGTGTATTGATTCAACGGGTTTGTTTGGGAACTGCTTATACTGTGTGCTTTAGGGTTTCGAATTACTGTTTGCCCTTCTAACTTCTCAGATGGGTAAACAGTTAGAAAACAGTTAAAACTGGTAGTAAAAGCAACTGGCAATCTGATCTGTTCTTTTGGCTCCCTTCTTTTCAGACTTGCAGTTGGTGATGGTTAAAGGAAAGTTCTACTAAGCTGTCGTGTAATATTTTAACGTCATTTCTGCTTAAGTTTGTGATGTTATACCAGTCAGATTGTACATTAATGATTCACATAAACCAGTTTCCTAAGCACTAAATTGATGTAAACTGAAAGGAGGCCTAGCTAAAGGTTTTCTGGGTGAAAATCTTCATCCAGAAAGTATTTCTTTCTCTTTTGTTCTTTCTTCAATCCTGATTCACACACATGAACACATGCATGTACACATGCATGCATGCATGCACACACCACAAAAGGAGAAAACGGGCACATTACTCTAAATATATACAGATGGTGGGGAACAAGGTCCTCCTCACTCCTACGTGCTCTAAAAGAGTTGTTTTTCAGCTCTGCTCCATTTGGCCAATTATGTATTTATTGCAGATTTGCATCCATAGTGTTAACAGCAATTCTATGGGTTTTATTTGTTGTGCAATTTCTTCCTTTTAGAGGAAACCATCTAGCAGTTTCTAGTAGTGAGCAATGGTTACAGCTAGAAGGTGGGTTTTTGAGTCTGCATTTGTCTGTGAGTCTGACTAGAGTTAGCTGTTTGTTTCTACAGATTCCAGCTTTAAGAGGCAAAGAACCTAAATCTCAACACTGAAAAACTGATCTGATCAGCTATATGTTTTTTAAAAGATAAACATTAAAAGATAAAGGAAAGCAAGCCTTAGTCTTTAAGGTAAAAGAGGGACAAGAAACAAGGAAGGAAGGGAGGGAAAGAGAAAGACAAAATCAGTCTGTTGCTTCATCCTGTGCCCCAAGGGGACTGATCTCAGCAAATGAGGCCTTGCTAAAAAAAAAAAAAAGGAAAAGAAAAAGAAAAAAAAATTGTGAAGTTCTTTAGAATAGAGTTTGAAGTTTCATTCTTCTTGATTTGAAGGCTTTGCTTAGTGGTTCCTAATAATACATTTAAATTTGATATAGAAGCAACTGCCAGCTTCTCATAGCAAGAAGAAAGAAAATGAATTGGATAAAGGAAGCAGTTCATTCTAGAAAAAAACAAAAACAAAAACAGGCAGAGAGAGGAAGAGCAGGAGCAGGGAAGCAGAAGCACTGCACTCTGCAAGGCCGGGTACTGGCCCTCCACACTGCCCACTCTGTAACACACTCTGAGAGGTGGCTTGCTTAGAAAGTGAGGCTGTACACACTGTGCTCAAGTCCACTGGCTGGGCTGACTTCCCCATGTTTGGTGTCAGGGAAGGCCTCCCTGGCCTTCCCTGCTGGCTAGTAGTACATTTTTGGGATGCAGATATGCTGAACGCCTTTTTGAGTAGTGTACACTTAGGTAAGATGAGGATGTGGTTACCAGTCCATTAGTAGATGAGGAAGATACTGTTTCCTAGATTTGCAATCTTAAGATCCAAACCATCAAGGTATGAACTCTTACTTGAGAATTGTGCTCTGTTTTGTCAACATTTGTGTGTGTGTGTGTGTGTGTGTGTGTGTGTGTATCTTGAATTCAGGGCCTGGTGATATCCCTGAGATTTTTCACTCAAGGTCTAGCATTCTACCACTTGAGTCAAAGCTCTAGTTCTGGCTTTCTTTCTTTCTTTTTTTTTGTAGTGGTGGATAGAGATAGGAGTGTCATGGACTTTCCTGTCCAGGCTTGTTTCAAATTTCAAGCCTGGGGCTGGGAAGGTGGCTCAGTGGTAGAGTGCCTGTCTTGCATGCATGAGGCCCTGGGTTTGATTCCTCAGCACCATATAGGCAGAAAAAGCCAAAATAGCGCTGTGGCTCAAGTGATAGAGTGCTAGCCTTGAGCTGAAATGCTCAGGGACAGCGCCCAGGCCCAGAGTTCAGGCCCCATGACCAACAAAAAAAAACAAAAACAAAACAAAACACTTTAATCCTCAGATCTCAGCCTCCTGGATGGCTAGGGTTACAGGCACAAGCCACTCATGCCTGGCTACATTATCAAGTACTTTTTGACCATCTCATTGTACAACACAAAAACTAAGTCAGAATAAGCATGACACATTTGGGGTCAATATGTCATACTGCTTAAGGGAACCAGGGCACATCTGATGATGGGAGATGACAGCAAGATGCTCCCATTTTGTCAGACTGAAGACGCACAGGTGAACCTTCAGGGTTTGAAATGATACGTAATGCAATGAAATTGACATAGAAACAGTCACCTGCCAAGAGAATTTCAGGATGGGTATAGGAAGAGCACTGCACTAGAAGGATTCAGTGTCTACCCTAAGTTCTCTAAACTAGAAAAACATAGGATTCCATGGGTTATTGTAAGATTCAAGATGTCTGATGCATAGCCGACAAAAAAATTAACTTAGGTTCCCTTCCTCTAACTAGGACTAATGTGATGGCATGGAGTATAAAGTGTAGAAGTAAGGGCCATTAACTTGGGAAAAAGCAGCATATTTAGCAGACATCTGGGTGTAAGAGGAGAGTGAACATAAAAACATTTAAAAAAGAGAAAGGGAGAGATGGAGACAGAGCAAGACTATCAAAGAAAAGCTGAGATTTCTAACTTGCACAATCAGCTCTTTGGTAAAGGAATGGGGGAAGTGTAGTCATTTTAAGGGAAAGATGATCTGACTTGTGAATCTAGATTTGGTATATTACATGTGGATTCTAATACAGAGATGAAACCAGGAGGGGGGAGGGGTCTGTCATCTTCCTAGGAATAATTACCTGATTGTATTTTTCATCTTTTAGTTTAAAAAACAACAATAAACAACCACACACACACACACACACACACACACACACACACACATCAGGTTGAAGTCAGAAGGAATGCCCCAGGGTAAGAGTGGACAGTGGGCGACAAGGCCTTGTAAGAGTCTTGTGACTGTCTCAGAGGAAAAGAAGGGTCAGCAGGGAAAGCCAGAGAGATGTAAGGAAAGCCTGTGACCCACCACTGCTGTCTCCAGATCAAAGGGACCAGGGGTGAGGCTGGGTCACCAGACTTGACCCCTCAAAAAGTTTTAAAAAAAAATTAAGATGGGGGCTCAGTACGCTGCCCAGGCTGGTCTCGAGTCCCTCCTGCCACCCCAGTGGAAGTAGCTCAACTAGGGGCACACCTGAAGGCCCCGATCAAAAGTAACAGATTTTAGGGCACATGCTCAGTACTGGACGGGCAAGTGTGTGTTCTCAGGGCTGAAGGAGTGGGAAGAAAGCCGCTGCTGGATGCCACATCTGACAAGGCTGGGGACAGGAGTGCCTCACTTGTCACACACGGTACCCTGGTGCCTGCGCAGCTTGTGTTTTTGGATTAACCTTAGCTTCCTGAGCCTGGGACTGGCCTGGTGTTTTATGACATTTCCCTCTCCTTAGGGCTTTTTTATGGTCTTTGGATACCCTGGCTCCCTTCCTCTCCCCCTCCCTCTCTCCCTCTCTCTAAATGTCAGAAATGGCCAAGAGATTGGCAGGCCCGGTTCTGGGTTTGGCTGGTTGGCCGGCCGGCTGGTTTGCACTCATCTGTTTGTCTTTTCCCATGCAAGGCTGGAATACCGCGGCGGCCAGGAGTGCTGTCCCGGGCCTGGAGGGGCTGAGGACCAGACTGGGGGTGGCGCAAGTCTTCGGGGACCGAAGTCCGGGAGGTCTCGCCGGCTGCTCGGGGATCAGCCCGGCACAGGTAGGGTGCCTTCATCCCCGCAGAGGGCGCCGCCCCGCCCCGCCAGCCCAGCTCCCGGCAGCCGGTTTGTCGGGCGCTGACTTCACCGCGCCTGGCATCGCACGTCCCCTTCGGAAAAGCAGCGACGACACCCATTTCCCCTCCCCGCCTCCGCCGGGCTGCATGGGCCTTGGCTTCTTTCTTTCTTCCTCTCCGGCTTTGCGTTACTAAAGCTCATGGGTTGCGGTTACCCGCACCGAGATTGGGAAGAACAACGAGCGGGGGGGGGGGGGACACATGTTCAGGGGGGTGCGGGACGGGGGTGGGGCCAGGCTTCGCTGCGGGGCTGGGGCTGGGACAGCCTCTCCTCAGAGCCGCCCAGCGCTCCAGCGCCAAGCGAGTGCGGGCAGGGCGCGTGCGTGTGTGCGGGGTGCGCGCGTGTGCGCGGCAGGGGTGTCCGGGAGCCGCCGCAGGGCTCCTTTGTGGGAGCCGGGCCCCGGGTCGGCCAGCCCCGCAGCTAGCGCCGGCGCCTCCCCTCGGTCGACCCCCTCGGGCGGTCGGCAAGCTCGGTCTCCCTCCGCCCTTCCGTGCCCGGACCCACGCTAGCCTGGCTCTGGCGCGCCCCCCGAACCCCACGAGCAGGTGAAGGCGCGCGGCGGCGTGGCCGGGGGGCGGCGGGCCGGGGATGCCGGCGGGGAGGAGGCCGGCCGGCGGGCTGCGGAGCAGGAAAGGGCGTGCTGCCCTTGGCGGCTGGCGGAGCAGCCAGGTCCGCTGCATTGTTACCTGAGGCCGCGCCCCGCCCCGCCCTCCGCCCACCCGCGCCGCCCTGCCCCCTGCGCCCGGGAGACCGGGCCTGCAGTGACCGCGGGGAGACGGCGGCTGCGCGGCGGCGGGGAGCGCGGCGCGGCGGTGAGCGGGGACCGCGCGGCCCGGCCCGAAGCGGGGCCGGGGCGGAGGGGGGGGGGGGGGGGTCTGCGTCTAGCTCCTCCTCACCTGCGCTCTCCGCTCCCCACCCGGAGACTTTACTCCGGAGGCCCGGGCGGGCCGGACCCTGCGTGCGGGGCGGGCGGCCGGTTGCACCCGGGTGGGCTGAGCTCCCTTTCCTCGGGTGGCTGCGTCCTGGCGGGCGGGGACTGCGGGAGTCCGCACGGACGCGCCGCCCGAGCCCTCGGTCGCCTTCCTGCCGCGGCCCGCGACCTCCCCCTGCGGCGGTGGGTGCGGGGCTGGCGGGGACCCGGCCGGGCGCTGCGCCCCGAGGCCCCGGTGCCCTGGACGGGGCACCCTCGCCCTGGAAGTTCGCGCCCTCAGTGGCACCGGCGAAGGAGGGAGTCGGTGGGCGGGCGGGCGGGCTGCCTTCAGCCTCGACGGCGGCCGGGTTACGACAGCCCCCGCCGCCTAATCCCCGGACCCCGCGGGGAAGGCCCGCGGCTTCTCCCGCGGCTTCGCGGAGCACGGTGGGTCTGAGCGGAGGTCCCGGACCGGCCGCAACCCGCTCCCGCCTCAAACACCCCGACGCCTCCCCTTCGTCCTCCCGACCCCAGCCGGCAGGAGGAGCGGGTGCCGGGTGTCAGCGCGGCGCGGAGGCGAGGCCCGGGGACCCCCCGGCGGGGGGAGCGCCCGGGGGGAGCGCCCGGGAGGGCGGCGCGGCTGAGCCAGGACCGGCGGGTCCCCATCCGCTGTCTCCGCGCGGGCCCGTGCCGCCTCTCCTCGCGCCCGGGTCGGGCTTCTCTCCGCGCGCGCCCGTGCCTGGCGTCGGCGCCCGGCCGGCTAGATTAGGTCGTCCGGGACCAGTCCCGGGCCGCGTGATCCCCGGCTCCGGGCCGGGCGCGGCGGGAGGCGGTAGAGCCGGTGAGTGGCTGGGCCCCCGCGGCGGGGTGCGGGGTTGGAGATGGTGAACGAGTGACCGCTGCCAAAGGGGAAGACTTTGGCGGCGGAAACTGCGTCCTCCGTGATTCGCAAGAAATCGGGTGTCGCCCTCCCCCCTCCCCGTCCAGCCGATCGGGGCTGGTCCGTGTGCACAGACACCCCCCCCACCCGACTGCAGCCCTCCGTGACCCCCGCCCGCCGCTGGCCCAAGGGTGTCTGGACCCCAGAGCTTCCTTCCTTCCCTCCTCTGCGAGAGCGCTCATGGACACTTGGTGCTTTTTGACTTGTCTCCCTTTTGCTTGCTTTTGGGACGGAGAGAGGAGAAACTTGCAAAGGCGCGTGCAGAAGCCGCCGGCGTCTCCCTGGGCTCTGGGGGCTGCTCTCAAGCAGCTGCGAATGTTTACGAGGCGACAGATTAAACATGCTGTCTTGGAGTGCCAAGTTGTCAGCGCGGGTTCCACTATGTGCTTGCACAGACAGCCTGTGTGTAACAATCCGGGAAGGCTGGGAGTTAGGTGGTGGCAGTAGAAAGAGGAGGCTTTTCTTCAGGAGTTGGTGGAATGAGAGCAAAAAGGAAAGATCTCCCCTTCCTCCTCCTTCCCTCCTCCCTGCTGTGTTGCTCTCCTCTGCGCTCCACCTGGCTTGCTCAGCCTCCAAAGCCCTGGACCAGCCCTTCCTGCCCCCCCCCCCCCCAACAGTAGCACAAGTCGGGAACCTGAGGGAAAGCGTTATCTGGTATGGTTATTACTTTTGATTATTGTTCAACATCAGGCCTTCCCACGCCTTTGGGATGATCTCTTCTTCACGGGGGAAGCCTCCTGCTCTCTCTTCTCCTTCCATCTCCCTTCAAGAGGATAGAATTTAGGGATGTTTCTAACACCAAAGGCATGGCTGTCCCAGCTTTTCAGCAAGAGTAGTTCACAAGTAGTTCACAGAGCTGCTGGTTGCTATTGCTTCTTGGCCTTTTGGGCAATTAAGATCATGTGTACACTTTTTTGCTTACCGGTTAAATACCTAAGGCTTACTTCATGATGCCAGCATGTCTTCTTAAAATTTCCCAAAGGTAAAAGAGGCTCCCCCAGAACTCCAGCCTCCACCTGAGGTTCGGGCACTTAAGCCCACCTCTGGTGGGCTGTGGGGAGCCCTCTGGGGACTTGAGGACAAGTTCTGTCCCCAGAGCCTCCCCTGGCTGAGCATTTGTCAGCCTCAGCAGCCCTGCTCCCTCCTCCCTGCTGCCGAGGGCCCCAGCCTCCAGCAGAGATGCTAAATACAAGCCTGTCTCTGTGTGTTCTGGGGAGATTGATGGGACCGTTGATGGCCTCTCAGACTGCACCATTGTCCTTGCTGGCAATTGTCAGCTGTGAGAACTGGCAGCAAGTGTCATCTGTCAGGGTTGTGGCATGACCTATGTTTTCCTAGCGTACCTGGGGGTTCAGTTGCATCTCCACTGTGGCAATATAATGGTGAACTGAGTGTTCTTTGGTTATCCTCTATTTTAATACCTCACAGAGAATCCTATTTGCTTGCTCTTTTTCCTACTACCTCTTTGACATTGGCAACCTTGCCTAGGGGGGTGGGCTATACTATGAAGCAACTGTAGTAAAAGCATTAGCATCATAGCTAATCATTGCCTGTGAGCTGATTCATTGGGAGCTTTGGGGGGGCTAAAATGCTTGTGTGTCACCTGGGAAAAAAATTAACCAGACAGCTTACCAGGGACAGTATGATGTATTTCCCTTTGCTTCATAAACTTTTAAGAATAACATTCTTTTCAAAGATGAGGCAGTGTTTAGAGTCATGCCAACACATAGCTAACACAGGTCACACTTTACTTTGGCATGTTTTTATCTGGTACTTTCCCTGTGAAGCACGGTACTCAAAAGGGGAAGCCTTCCCAATCTCTTTTCTTCTCTCCTCCCTCTATCTCCCTTCGAGAGATGAGTTTAGGGATGTTTTGATGTTAGAAGATAGTGATATTGTACAACTTCTTAAAACTTAGTAAGTTAAATTTGGTGTTAACTGACGTTTGAACCCAGGTCCTTGAGCTTGCTGGTTCTACTGGGGTCCAAAGCTTGAGCCATGCCTTCAACCCAGCCTTTTGTTGGTTATTTTTGAAATAGAATCTCGTGGATTTTATTTTTGCCTGCACTGGCTTTCTGAACCACAGCTCTCTGGAAGGGGAGTTAGTGGTACATAGTACATCTCTCTCTACATGTACTTAGGCAGCACTGGATTATTGCTTTCTAGATTGAAGCCTTTTTTTAAAAAAAAACACTTTATACACTTTTTGGTTTATTGCTTGCTTGCTTGAAGTGTTGGGGTTGGAATCCAGGGCCTTGCACAATCTAGGCTATAAACCTAGCTATTCTCCTAGCAATCATCATTCTTAGATAGATAGTAGATGGCTGGGATGTAGGTCAGTGGTAGAGTTCTTGCCCAGTGTAAATGAGGCCTTGGGTTTGATCCTCAGCACTGAAGAAAAAAAAAAAAAAAAAGGGGGATTCGAGGTCAATTGGAGAATTAGCAACTCTTATATACATCAGCTATTTTATCTACAGAAATATTTTAAAAATATGTAATAATGAACTGCCAAAATTACCTGTACAGTCTTGAAAAAGAAGAGTTCAAATATAACTATAAACTGTAATTGACAGTGAGTCATTTGCTTTAGGGGTGCCAACTATGAAAACAGCCTAGTTATACCCCTAATGATAATCATGAAAACTCCTTCTAAAAGCCAGTTGCAGTCCAAATGAGCTGTAAACCAGCTTGGATACATACTTTTAATTTTACCTATTTAGAAAATATGCAGAAGTGATCATTGCTGTACACTGTGAATGTACTTCATGGCTCTAAACTGAACCCTTCAAATGGTTAAAAACTGTGTGCAAATTGTAAGAGTTGGAAATATCTTATTTTCTACTTTAAGCAGTTTTCAAGGCCTAGCTTTTCAGAGCCTGAGGGTATAACTTAGTGGTAGAATACATGCTTGGCATGTATATAAAGCCTTGGGTTTAATCCCCAGCACCAAAATAAATAAATACTTTAAATGTTTCACAAAAACTTACATTCTTATAGAGATAATTTAATATATATTTTTAAAAGGACAGACCCAGCAAACTACAAACCAAAAATAGCAGAAATAGTAAATATGTATTTCTAGCAGCCAGGGGTAATTTATTACTTTATCTATAAACCCCTATAACTTTTATCTATAAAAAGCAAATGCGTGAGGGGAGGGGAATGTCACAGTCGGGGAGAATGATAGAAGGGTTACTGAACAAGATACACTGGACACAAATAGACATACTAAGTTGTAACCCCCTTGTACAACTATTTGAAAATAATAAAGTAAAATTTTAAGAATAGAAAAAGAACAAATACAGTGCCTATGAAAATATAAGGCTACAGTGTACACACGAGCAATGATTAGTAACAGCTAACTACTTACCAAAAATCTTGATAAGGATGGTGCATCAGTTCTTAAAGCAATGGAATAGATGTATGCTAATTTTGAACATGCTGAAGTGAATTTATATAGCCTACAAGTTGTGCAGGTAGGCGAATTCTGAGGAAAAAGTGATCTGTTTCTAGACTTTTCCATTCTCTAAGGTAATCCTGCCTTTGATCTGTGGCTGTAGGGGAAATGTCATCATATTTGAGTGATGTCAGGTATCAGACAATTTACTTTTGCATAATCCAGTATTATTTCACATAACTGTGTCTATAGGTCTGGTCTCTGCCAATAATAACTGTAAAATAATAATTACACCTGCCAGTCCCCTTTTCACACTCTCACCTTGTCATTCCCAAGTCAAGTCCATTCGTTCATCCCTCATTGCCAGCTGTCCTTGTATTGAAAGAACTGTAACTGTTTTGACCCAATTTTGCATCATGTCAGTAATAACCCAAAGCCAAAAACAAACATTTGAAGGCCTCCAAGAGAAGCGTGTGCGTTGTGTGGATAAGGGACAGAAATGTGGCAGACCTGATAGAGGAAGCCTGTCCTTGTATGTCACAGAAGTGGAAGGGGGAGGTGACAAGTTCTAATTGGCTCTAAATAGTGTGGTTTATCTAGACTCCCAAGTTGGCAGCTTGGGGAGGGAGGCAGAGGCCGTGCCATGCATCTTCCAAATTGTCCAGATGGCAGATTGAAAGTCATGTGCCCAGGTGACTGGTGTAGAATGCTGAACAGGAAAGTTGTTTAGACCTCCATGCCTGGCCTTCTTTTCTCTATTTTGGAGGAAGCCATATCACCCTAGGGAACAGGAGCATGCTGATGACCCTGACTTCAGGGAAATGAGCCAGGCTGCTTGTCAATCATCTCCAAATGCCCCGCCTGTTGCACACTAAGTGGAAGATGCCTTTTGACCCAGTGATTGCTAGGAGACATGTCCAGACTGGAAGAAGGCAGGGTCACTAAACACCTAATGCTTCAGTAATTTGGGCTGTTTCCATAGGGCTAGGTATCCATTGCCTAAAAGAGAATCAACCAGTTGGTGAACAAATAGTTTATTCATAAAGCGAGCAATACTTGCTGAACCTATGGTGATCTTTCAATAAGCACATGCCTTATTGATTAATGGAGGGTTTCCAAATTGGATTTATTAGTTCTCTTTTGGCAGAAATTCCTGGTTAATAAATGTACTGGTTGCTTTTCATACCATTTGATATATCCCCCTCCAGCCGTGGGGAGGGCTGGCCTCCAATAGGGCAAAGCCCCTATGGAAACCTCTGTCTGTCCTGACCCTGAACTCATTCTGTCTTTGCAGGTTTGGAAGATGACAAGCAGGACGGCTGTCTACTTTTCTGGCAGCCGACTCATGGGCAAAGAAGTGTAACAGGAGTTTGATGTTTGTGTCTGCTTCCCCAAGGTCAAGGAATTACCTCCTTAGAAGGCAACAGTACTATGCATGTTATGAATTGTGTCTCCCTGGCCAGCGATAAAGAAAATGGGACTGTTGCCACTGCAGCTGGGTTCATGATCGGGCAGACAGCACCCCCAGCATCTCCTCCACCTCCTCCTCCACCCCCTCCACCATGCCTACCATCAGGGGAAGGCTTTTCACCCTCTCCACCTCCTCCCCTGCCACCTCCACTCCCAGGGGGGCCTCCTATTCCCCCTCCACCTCCGCCACCACCGCCAGGATTACCCCCAACTTCTCACATGAACGGCTACAGTACCCTGGGTAAGAAGAAGCGCATGCGAAGTTTTTTCTGGAAAACCATCCCAGAGGAACAAGTGCGGGGCAAGACCAACATCTGGACCTTGGCGGCCAGGCAGCAGCATCACTACCAGATTGACACGAAGACCATCGAGGAGCTCTTCGGGCAGCAGGAGGACACCACCAGGTCTTCTCTCCCCAGGAGAGGAGGATCATTTTATTCCTCCTTCAGAGATTCCCGGGAAGAGGTAAGAACAAATCCTGACATATGCCATGCCGTTTTGTGTTGAGAGCTGTTGGTACAGATGGTCTAAATAATTCCTAAACATCACTAAGAAATAATTCAGTGCAAGTGAATGTGCTCTGAAAATGACCGAAAGGGCCCCTGTGATGAGTTGGAGCTGAGTCGTGAAAAAGCATAGGGTGTGTGCTTATGGATCCTCTCCATGTCCCAGTGGGTTATGACCTCATGCAGAGAATACGCTAGTGGGGGCCATTGGTCTGTGGCCACTGAGCACTGCCCAGTCTCTAGCACATCTGCTCTGGTTCCCCCCTCTCCACCCCCCTTCCCCAAGAAATCTGCTACAGTTCAGGGTTGTTAGTCTCCTTTGCGCAAAAGATTGAGCTTCTGAACTCAGTTATCTGGGATGCACCAGAGATGTCCCAGATCAAATGCCTTTTAAGTTACATCAATACTAGATATCCTTAGGGTTTTACCCTTATTTTCCTCTCCAGTGTGTCTTTAGGTTTTGCCCACTGATTTCCAGACGGCCTTCATTCTTCCGATATCTAGATGAAATTGTGGCCTCTGGAAAGGAAGAGCTCCACAGAGCCAAAGCATAAAGCTCTTTGTGAGAAGCATATTTGCAGCTAATACTAAATGTGTTACTTTGAGGAGGAAAAAAAGCTAACCTTTACCTGCTAAGAGAAAGAATTACAAGTGTGGAATGATAAGAAGTGAATGTTGGGAAAAGAGAAAGGGAGGGAGGGCAAAGAGAAGGAGATGGGGGGGGAGAGAGAGCACAACTTAAAATCTTGATTTTTTTTTAAATCTTGTAAAGGAACTGAGAAAATAGGTCAGTGATGTAGCTGCCTAGATAAGAGAGGGCAGGGCCCTAGGATGAAGTATTCTTTCTGTGCGTTACTCAGTTCTTAAGCCAACAATTTTGACCTCTTTTCTGTTTCTGGCTTAGGAACATGTAACTCCGTCTACTAGTTCATTTTGGGGCCCTTTTACAGCTGGAGTAGAATGCCCTGTTGAAATCATTGAGAGTCTATTATGAAATGTTGGAAACACTGGAGTTAGGATTGTTTGAGTGTCAAGAAAGAAATCATCAGGAGAGACCACGATGCCTTCAATGCAGAACACAGGCTTTTCCTGTCTCTTCCTTTTATGCAAAGCCTTTTTATATGGTTAAGTATCCTTTCAATATTGGGTGAAGCAAGAGGTCATTTCCTTAGTACCCCTGGCCTTTGCCCCAGCTTCCAACAGAAGTGCTTTATTGGTCACGTCTCACCATTGTCTCCAAGCTTTCCTTGTTGAGCTTCAAGATCCTAAATTCATAATTGGACGGGCGTGTGGAGAAAAGGGGCTTGTGTCCCAGGAAAGTATTTGGAACAGAAAGGGGGTCCCTCAGTTGTGCCTGGGAAGCCACAGCTAAGAGCAGGTGGTGTCCTCTGGGAGAAAGGCAAGGTGTGCCAGAGAAAAGCTAAGAACCACCATGAGAGGGAAAGAGTGGCCTCTATCCACCCTGTGCCATCAGTAGATTTTTTTTTAATTACTTTTTTTGTCTGTTCCACCTTTCTTTCTCATTGCTTGGAACCCTTGACAGTGCTAGGAAAACCACACTACCACTGAGCTACTTCCCTTGTGCTAAGATAATTTAAATTGTAAAATTCACGTCACATAAAATTTACCACTTTTAACGCCATGCACTAAGTGAAGTATATCCACATTTTTGGGCAACTATCACTACTATCCATCTCCAGCACTCTTCATCTTCCATAAGTGAAACACCGTTCCTCCTAAACAATACTCTCCCATTCCCCCCTCCCTTCAGGCCATCGTCTCTATTAATCTAACTACTCTAGTGGAATCTTACAGGGTTTGTCTCTTTTGTGACTGGCTCATTTCTCATAATTTGATATCTTTGAGGTTCAACTAGGTTGTAGCACAGGTCCAAACTGAAAGTCAAACAATGTTTTGTTGTATGTCTCCATCCTGTTATTTATCCATCCATTCATTCATCCATCTATCCAAAAGGTTCCACTGTGTTGCTTCCTACTGTTTGTGAATAATGCTGCTGTGAATACAGGTGTGTAGAGACTTTACTTTTGACACTTATAGATCTTACCCTAAGAGGTAGCATATGAGAAGAAAATTGAAATTCGTGTGACTATCTCGAGGTGATCTAACCCTTCTGCTCTTCCATATGTAGAAATAAGTAGTTAGACTGATCCATGTTGGTTCATGTGACGTGTCATCATCACATAAGAATTATTTTCAAGTTTTTATAGTATATCCAATATTGCTGCATATATTAAATACACCCTTTTTTCAATAGAAGAATGTGCTAATATCCTATTTCCTTTCCTCATTAAGTTTCTTTCTGCTAAAGAAATTATAACTCAGCAGAATTATGGTTTGATAAAGATCAGCAATAAATCTTCCAACTCAGCCTGCAGTAAGTGGAGTTCAGGGTCGAAAGCAATAGTTGTCACACTCTGCCCAGGTGGACTGGAGAATACACTGAACAGCATGTTCCACACAGAGCCTGTTCATGAATCTGGACACAGGGCCCCAGCCTGTCACAACACAGGCCATAACTCTGGAGGTTCAGAGGTGCAGGAAATCAGGTCACGTCCCCAGTCATGTATAACCTCCCACAGAAATGACCTGACCTTTTCTGATTGGCTTACAATTTAAAGGATTCATAAAGCATTATAAATAAGTTCCATTATACTCCAGAGGGAGAATCTGCTGGAGGATGGGGAAGACTTGAATTTGAGAGTAGTTGAATTTAGAACGAGACTCAAAGTAGTAAGTTAAAGCCGTTCATAGGGGAGAGAAGGCTATGAAATCGTGCGATCATTGTATCTTCGTTAACCTAAAAATTAACTTGAGGAGATTACAGATGTGATGGTACAACAGTAATTAAGCACTTGGAGATAACACAGATACCTACTGGAGATCAAAGAAAAGGTCTCTGCTCAGCCTCAGAATTCACTGGTCTCTTCCTCCCAAAAAGTTTTGAAGTTCCTGAGGTTACATATGTCCCTTGGTCCCCCGTGGTAGCACTGGGTCTGTGTCTGTCTCTACATTCCATAGCTCTTAAAGATAGGGATACATGGCAGCCATTTCGTGTTCCTCTAAAGAAATTAAAGGTAAATGAGCTGGTCAGGATAGAGCAAAGGAAGCAAAGCGACTGTCTTCTGTAGGTCTCGCAGATTAAACACAGGGGGTCATTTGTTGTGGTTCACTGTGTTGACCAGGTAGGAAACAACCGAATTTCTACCCGGAAGAAAGAGGACAGGAAAGAGGTAGGAAGAGAGGAGGGAAGGATGCAAGGGTGCCTTCTTGTACCAAATTTGAGATAATAATGTTTTATTCTCCCACACTGTACATTCAGAGATCATTCTTTCTAAACTATTGTTAGGATCCCTGTGTGTACTGAAATTCTGAGACATGTTCACAATCTAAAACTTAAACTAAAAAGTGTACTTGAATTTTTAAAAATGTGCTTCAACTGGAGATTTCTTGTGTTTTTTTCTTCCTAAAATGGAGGAACAATCTCCAACTGATAGCCAGCCAAAAATGTTAAAAATAAAAAATCAAAGACAGAAAGCTAAGTCTTTACTAGATGAAAGAGGCAGATTCTTAAAACTTCGCTTTTCAAAACTAGAATGAGCTAGGTACCAGTGGCTCACGGCTATCATCTTAGCTACTCAGGAGGCTGAGATCTAAGGATTGTGCTTTAAAACCAGCCTAGCAGGAAAGTCTGTGAGATTCTTATCTCCAATAAACTACTCAGAAAAAGCCGGAAGTGGTGCTCTGACTCAAGTGGTAGAGCACTAGCCTTGAGCACAGAGGGCCCTACTCAGGGACAGAGCCCAGGCCCTGAGTTCAAGCCCCAGGACCAGCAAAAACAACAAATAAATAAATAAATAAACAAACCTAGAATGGGATTGGAGCAGCCACCATTTAGCATTATCTGAGTAGGTAAGGAGACCCTTTTGAGAATATAGAAAGTGGTTTAAAGAGGCCCTTCTGTCTCTAGGACATTATGCTAAGTAAAATACAAGATCCACAAAGGACAAAGTACGAGTCTGCTTATAGGAGATGCCTCATGTAGTCCAACGTCAGAGAGGTTGAAAGTACCTCTGTAGCCCCCCAGTGGCTGGGGCTTGAACTCAGGGACTGGCACTCTTGGCTTTAATTCTGCTCAAGGTTGGCACTCTACTACTTGAGCCATATTTCCACTTCTGGCTTTTTGGTGGTGAACTGGAGATAAGAATCTCATGGACTTTCCTGCTCAGGCTAGCTTCAAACCACAATCCTTAGATTTCAGCCTCCTGATTAACTAAGATTACAGAGATGAGCCACCAGCATCCGGCTTAGGAGTTCATGTTTAATGTGTACGGAGCTTCAGTTTTGCAAGATGGAAAAGCCTGGAGATGGAGGATGGTGATGGTTGCACAACAGCGTGGATATACTTAATGCCACTGAGTTGGACACTTAAGAAATACAAATGTTATTGATAGTTTACCACAATTAAAAGAAATTTCTTCCTCTGGTAGAGGATGTGGGAGGCAGATTTTGTAATGGATTGATGCTGGAGAAAACAGCAAGAATTGTATAGCTAGGGAAGTGGCTCAGTGATAGATTGTCCCCAGCTGAGAGAGAGAGAAACACAGAGATAATAGAGAGAAATAGGGAAAGAGAGAGAGAGATGCTCATTTGGAGGTTTTAGCAAGAGGTAGGCTAGACATTCACACCTATCCCGAATGCTCACTCAGTGTCTCTAAAGACATTAGAACAACCCTGTTCCCACATCAGTCTGTGGTGACACTTAGCTAGCTGGGGACCTTTCATATCCAGTAGGAAATCCTTGAAATGAGGAGAGTACATGGCCTTACCTCCCCTTGTATTTCTGTCTTCCAGTGCGAGCTGGAGAAGTCTTATAGTGTGTTTCCTGACTGCTGGTTAGCACTGCTTCCAGTGGCCATGGTCCTGCCTGGTGGCCTGATGAGTCCAGCAGAGTAGATTCCAAGTGGACTGGAGCTGGCCGGGGTGGGGCAGCGCTGCACACTCATTGGGGACAGGTCAGCTTCTCTGACTTAGCTTGTACAGCCCACGGGCCCCAAGGGAACCACCCCCCCCCACACACACACACACAAGGTCTCACTGTTGAGACAGCCAGCACTGAGTGAGATAAGCTCATTTACACGTGCAGTGATAACCCTCTTTGAAAGCTTAACAAACACTTTTATAACAGGGCTTGGAAGGATTCAATTTGATAAGGGAGGAGAGAGAGACTTGTAAGGCTCTTGGCAAATCTGAGGGTGCTCGGGCCCTGGAAGCTTATCATCTGTCTCATGTTCCCCGTTCATTCATGCAGAGCTGGGCTTTGTTGTCTGTAAGGTGCTCTGCCACTGCTAGTCCAGGTTTTTCCTTAGGAACTGATGACAGGTGACTGCCCAGGTTCACACAGCTTGAGCCATGGGCATATCATCTGCAAGCCAGCAGCTGCTCTGGGGACCCAAACTTGGGCTCCTTGGAGGCCCACTTACCTGGTGAGAATGTGATTGCCACCAGCATCCCCTCACATAGGGCTCTCAGACACCAGGGAGCTTGGCTGTGCACTGTAGATGGCTCCTTTCTGCAGATCTGCCCTGTTCCTGGGAAACTTCTCAGTGGGAAACCAGGCTGATTGCAGGGCCTCAGGGTCAGGGAGGAAGGGCTCTTGTGCCTCCCTAGGAGGTCTGTAGAGGCTAAAGCTCACAGGAACCAGAATGAAGAAGAATCTGAGAGAGCCAGGCTTGAACTTCTGTTCTAATACTGCTTTGGGAAATTTACAAGATGTCATCTCCAGGGAATAACCAGAGATATTTTCTTCCTCACGTTCCTAGAAGGTGTACAGAGCCCCAGGGCTGGAGGGGTAAATAGGATGAGGACTGGGCTTGGAGCACGGTGGTGGGGGGGTCTGGGGCAGAGAGGATGGTAGAAGGTAGCAATTTAATGTGAGAAATATAATACAGGTTCTGTCCTCAGACTAGGCAGAAATGCAGAGTTAGTTTCTTGGATGTATATGTAACTATATCAGTATACGTGTTCACATTTCCAGCTTTTTAGTTTATGCATTATAATGAATGCATAGTTTTGTGGTGTGAGCTTTCCTGCTTACAGGGTGTTAAGGTTGACAGGTTTTGTTCTCAGCTTGTCTTTCCCTCTCTCCCCTCCCACCACACTGAACTTGAACTGCTATGTCTGGGTAGGATTCCAATAAGGGAGGCTGCCCTTTTAGCTTGGGAGGTTGTTTTATGGCTGGCAGGTGATTGTGTTAACATGAAATAAACCCCTAGGTTAGTAAATAATGTGATTGTTTAAGATTAGTCTTCAAAAGAAGGCAACCATACCCTTGTAAAAATTTAACCTTATGGCCAGGAAGTGACATTAAAGTTGGCTAACAGGCTTGCTGTTGCTTATAAACTTAGAAGCAACCCCAGAGATCAGGAATTTAGTCTGAAACCCGATTCTCTTTTGTTCACAATGAACCTCATACATTTGGAAAGGAAGAGGTTGTAACAACATCCCTGTTTTAGCTAGTCTCTCTTTACCAAAACAACAAATGGAAAAAAATTGCAGTAGTTTTAGGTTATTCTTCCTCCATGAATTCTGCCTATTTGTTTCCTGAGACAGAAATGGTTTTTGTATTTCACAGCCCCAAGCAATAATTTCTAGTTTGATAAAAATCTTCCTCAAGTTATTAATTTTGAGCAGTGAAATCCTGTTGCAAACTGAGTGTGGGATCACATACCTGTAATCCAAGCTTCTTGGGAGGTGGAGGCAGGAGGATGGAGAGATTGAGACCAGTCCCAGCAAAGTTGGCAAGACTGTGTCAGAAACAAAATGATGACAGAAGTAGGGGTATAGCTCAAGGCCCTGGGTTGTGTGCCCTGTAGTGCAACGCCAGTAAACCATGCAGCCTAAATCTGGGTTTTGACCATGCATTAAAAGAGCAATGTCATCTAATTGCATTGTCAAAACTGTATATAAGACACAACCTGATTCCAGAAATGTTAAAATGTGAAAAGAAGTTACTTGTCATATATGTGTATATACATATACATATATGTATATATACACACACATAAATATATATGGTATGAGGATTTTTCTTTTTCTTTTCTTTTTTTTTTCTTTTTTTTGTCGGTCATGGGACTTGAACTCTGGGCCTGGGCACTGTCCCTCAGCTCTTCAGCTCAAAGCTAGCACTCTACCACTTGAGCCACAGCGCCACTTCCAGCTTTTTCTTCTTATGTGGTGCTGAGGAATTGAACCCAGGGCCTCATGCATGCAAGGCGAGCACTCTACCTCTGAGCCACCTTCCTAGCCTGAGAATTTTTCTTTTTACATTGATATATATAGAACACTTTTTTTTTTCCTGGTTGTGGGGCTTGAACTCAGGGCCTGGGAGCTGTCTTTGAGTTCTTTTGCTCAAGGCTAGCACTTTACTACTTTGAGCCATAGTGTCCCTTCCAGTTTAGTGGTAGTTAATTGGAGATAATGGTTTCATGGACTTTTCCTATCTGGGCTGGCTCTGAACAGTGATCCTTAGATCTCAGACTCCTGAGTAGCTAGAATTTACAAAGGTGAGCTACCAGCATTGGCTCCTTTTCTTTTGTCTTTTCCTTCCTTTTTTTCCTTCCTTTTTTTCCTTCCTTTTTTTCTTTCTTTCTTTCTTTCTTTCTTTCTTTCTTTCTTTCTTTCTTTCTGTCTGTCTGTCTGTCTGTCTGTCTGTCTGTCTTTCTTTCTTCCTTTCTTTCTTTCTTTTTGTTGTTGTTGTTGTTAACACAAAGGTCTATGTAGACTCATCTAGAACTGCTGGTCTTCCTCAGTCTCCTGAGTTCTGGATTACAAGTATATACTACCATACCCAGCTAGGAGGATATTTCTTTCTCTTTAAAAAAGTATTGGACATATAAAACTTTTTTCTCAATAAAATGAATTTTTCCTATGAAGATGTTATTTTCACAGAATTTAAAAAATAAATTTCAGTTTCAAAAATAAAGTATTTAAAATTTTATTGTAAAAATAAATTCTCTGGGCTGGGAAGGTGGCTCAGTGGTAGAGTGCTTGCCTTGCATGCATGAGGCCCTGGGTTCGATTCCTCAGCACGACATAAGCAAAAAGAAAGAAGCCGAAAGTGGCACTGTGGCTCAAGTGGTAGAGCGCTAGCCTTGAGCTGAAGAGCTGAGAGACAGCTCCCAGGCCCAGAGTTCAGGCCCCATGACCGTACCCAAAAATAAATAAACAAAAACAAAATAAATTCTCTGAAATAGATACTGAAAGTAATATTAGTCCATTTACATTTGTTAATCAGAGTTGAAATCCTGTCTGCAAGTTATGTTTTATTTTGTCAGTTCAAATCTCATATGATTCTTGCTGTACTAACATGTTTCCAGATTAAAGCTTTTAAGCAGGGGCTATTTCTAAAAAGAAAATTTTAAAGCAGATAATTACGTTTTGAAATTTATGTAATAAAATAAATGTGTGTCATTTTTACTGTTAAAATATATCATGGTAGAAAGTTTGGAGAGAGAATGTCTTGATATTCATAATTTTTGTTTGCATTTATTATACATGTATTATACATGTTGTTACTTTTCCATAGATGTTTACAGTATGTTTCAATCAACCTATTAATTTCTAGCTTTCTGTCATGGGAATTAGTCGCTTATTAGTATTGTACTTTGATACATTTTTTTGGTGGCTCTTGGATTTGAACCCAAGGCCTCACACTTGTGAGGCAAGATGCTCTGCTACTTGAGCCACACTTCTAGCTCTTTGATAAATTTTAATTTTCTTCTTTCCTCTATTGTTTCTTACTTTTACTTTAATGATCTTATGTGTCTCTCTTTCTAGATTACCATCTTGGATGCAAAACGGAGCATGAACATTGGGATATTTCTTAAGCAGTTTAAGAAGTAAGATTTTTGCACACATCTAAAATTTCTATCATAAATGCTCACTGTCAGCCTTGAAAGTCTGTGGGTGTGGCCAAGCTGAAATTCAAGTTCTACTATGAATGGTGTTCCTCACATCTTCAAATCCTTCCTACATGTGTGGCTTGATGAGTCCACAAATGTCTTTGATATGAAAGCAGAATGTACAGGAGAATTACCATTCTCCTTGTCAGGGAAGTTCTAGATCCATCTTTCACCATGGAGGCTGGACTGGTGCTGTTGAATTCACTAGGACTGGGCTCCATAGGAATCCAGGGAGGCCAAAGGGGGTTGCTCTTCTTCCTGGGAGAATCCAGGATGGCTTTCTGGATGTAGGGCCTCAGAGTGGTTCCCTATCATTGGGGCTGTTGTGGGCCTTCCTGCCTGGGAGGAAAGGAGAGGGCAGATTTGTTTCCATTTCCACTGGCTGTTTCCCTGTTGGTGCTCCAGTAACCATGAAGCAGAACCTGATTTGCTATCTTTTCCAGGTCTCCTCAATCCATTGTAGAAGATATTCATCAAGGAAAGAGTGAGCATTACGGATCAGAGACACTTCGAGAATTTCTTAAGCTTTTGCCAGAGTCAGAGGAGGTAAGCTTGGATGTTAGGAGTGGTGAAAGAAGAGTCAGTATCCCAGCCATCAGAGCAAAGGGCACTGTCCCTGTATAGATGACACAGAAATAGCTAGACTTACGGAATTAGAGAATCTTGGTTTAGGTGAAGCTGTACTTCAGTTGAATAACATGGGCAAGGTTCTCAACTCTGAACTTTAGTTTCCTCACCGTAAAGGAAGGATAATGACCCTTACTTCATTGGGTTGTCAGGATGACAGGTGCTGCTTGGGCACCCAGCATGGTACCTGACACATAGGAATGCAATAAACTTGAGTGTTCTTTTCCATCCTCAAAGGTTGACCTTTGCCTAGGCTAAACCTGGGTTATTTTATACATTGACTTGCCTTAAAAAAAGAAAACAATTTTTGGATAAAGATGCTCTAAAATTAGGAGTGGTGAATAAAATATGAATACATGGTATGCATGCACGTAATTGACTGAAAGGAGGAAATTGCTATGAGAGTAAAAAAGTACCGTAAGATAAAAGTATTTGCTTCTCTTAGACCAAATTCACTGAATTATTGAATGGTTTGTTGCTTGATAGAAGTAAGAGCAGTAGTTTTATTTAAAAAAAACTTCCAAATTCATATTATTGTGCTTTGTTTCTGGAGAAAAATTCTGTAAGACAGTGTACTAACTTTCATGCTTATGAATGCAAATAAAACAGTCTAGAATCTTCTGAAGATTTTACTCTGTGAGTAAAAATAAAAGAGACTTGTGTATGTGTGCTGGTACTGGAGCTTGAACCTGGGGTCTTGGGCTTTCACTTGGCTTTTTCTGCTCAAGGCTGATGCTCTACCACTTGATTCACTGCTTCACTTCCAAAAGAGACTTTTTAGGAGTAAAAAGGGAAGGATGGAAGAGATGTGGCTCTGTGGTAGAGCGCTTGCTGAGTATATGTGGGGCCCTGGATTGATCCCCAAAACTGAAAAAAGAGAAAAGTAAGGATGGCTGTTTTTAGTTTCTGGGTTTTTTTGTATTGATTTGCATAAATCATCCCTTTCATAAATACTGCTGGCTCTTCTGCCTCACTTTCCCAGATACCGTTTATGGAACTTGTTGATGATGATCAGTGTTAAATTCACAATGTGGGATATTAGTGGTTAGCTCCAGTCTGTAGATCTATGATTACTGGAAGCATTCTCTCTTCCTCAGGTTTTCTGCTTGTAAATTAAGTGTAATTTATCTAGGCCTACCTTAATTAATAGCATTTGTTAGTGAAGGATTATAAAGGAAAAGTATTTGATCATAATTTACCCTGGATTTTACAAACACAGCAGTCCCTAACCTTTCTGTTTTGTATAGATTTGAAGTTCCACAATTGTTGTGAGGAAGGGTTAGATTTAGTTTGAGTTTTAAAATGATACATTTGCTTCAGCTGGGGATGTGGCGCAGTGGCAGAGCACTTGCCTAGCCTGTGTGAGGCACTGGAAATGATCTCTTCTCTCCCCACTGAGAGGAGAAGAAAAGATTTATTGCTTTGGAAATTGTATTCCTACTGGGACCCTTTTCCTGAGTCTTCCTGCAGCCTGCTCTGTGGATCCCCTCCTGACTGACCTCATTGTGTTTTTGATGAACATCAAGATCACATGACAGTGCAACAGTGCACGTGAAAGTGCTCTGAGAGCCTGGATGTCTAAGTAGATGGGAGTCAGGTGGGAAGGAGGCTGCCAGCTGCACGTTACCAGGATGTAGGAGATTGAATATGATTTTCTTTTGTGTGTGAGTGTGCACTGGTCCTAGGGCTTGAACTCAAGGCCTTGAGTTCAAGATTTTTTTTTGCTCAAGGCTAGTGCTTTGTCACTTGAGCCACAGCTCCACTTCTGGCTTTTTTTTTCCCCCTTTGGTAGTTAATTAGGGATTAGAGTCTCACAGCTTTTCTGCCCAGGCTGGATTTGAACCCGATCCTCAGATCATAGCCTCTTCAGTAGTTAGGATCACAAGCATGAGCCACCAGTCCCTGGCCAGAGTATGATTTTCTTAATATTGTCATTCCTCGTTTAACATTTAAAAATTATTAGAAAATGCAAAAGAATTTTTCAAATCCTCACATTTAAAGAATTTTATTTTTGGATGTGTGTGGGAAATGGTTGGAAATGAACAATGTTCAAAGTCAGGTGAGAAAAACCCACCTGAGTCCCTAAAGCTCCCTCCCAACTGACAGCTAACTGAGGTGAGGCCTCGGGGTGGGCTCCACATGTGTAAGCAGGCCAGAGGTGTAGGTGTCCCTCACCCTCCTGCTGCTGCAGATCCATCTCAGCCTAAATGTCTAGCCGGCTCAGCCACCTTCTTGTTTACATTACTGACTAGCTTAGGCTCACCACGCCCTCCATACTCAACTGGGAGCTTCCCCGTACAGAAACACCCAAAAAGGCCCGGGTCACCCCTCCCTGACCATGTACTCCATCCAGGCCTGTGTGTGGCCACAGAGGTCTCAGGGAAAGCCAGAGCCCCTACCCTACTGTTCCCCCTTCAAGGACCAGTAGGTTTGTGGCCTCTGGTACCACCCAGATTCAGGCTTGACTCTGGAGTCTCTGGGCCTATGGATGGCCTATGGCTGGAGGCTGAGGCCAGGGAAGAAGCCGAGCTAAGTGCCAGAGGCTTAGGAATGTGTCAGAAACATGTTAATAAATGCACAAGACACGAGGGTGTGTGTAGCCACATGGCCCTAAGTCTGTGATGAAATGTCTTATGCTAAATTTTAGCCCAAGAAGGGACCAGATATTTACCACAGCCCTCTTGATCCAAGCACTGGACAGAGAATGAAATGAAATGATTATGTCCATCCATCCTAGCTATGATTATTTTGTGTGTGTGTGTATACATATATATTTAAATTTAATCCTTATAGGAACATCATGAGCTATTCCTCATTTCACCAATGATAAAGTGTGCCTCTCACAGGTTGGATGGTGTCTCATGATCGCTGGGCCATAGAGTAGGGGCGGACTTGAACCCTGATCCTTCTGACCCTGGAGTTGTCTTTCTGCTGCCCTTGGTTACCTTCTTTGGAGGCAGGAAGGGCAAAGGTTGTCAGAACTGTACCTCCCACAGAGTAGCTTCCCACCTTTTCATCACTCAGCTACCACAAAGGCTGGGTGTGGGTAAGTGTCACTTGAATAATACCCTAACCTTATCAGCATGTTGAAAAAGATAAGCGGAAACAAGTGCTTTTCTCTCCTGCCTCCTCAGCTGACCAGCAGCCAAAGCCAATTTCTACCAGAGATTTCTGAGCCCTTCACCACAAACGTTTGATTTGGCATGTTTGTTCATCTTTCCTTCACCTCCTTCTCTGTGAAGGAAGAAGGTGGGCCCCCAACAAGATACACTGAGTGTTCCCTTGCCAGGGAGGGAAGTTGGACCTGGTCAGCCCTTCCTTAGCTCTATGCTGCTGGGATCAGCCATCTCAGTGTCCTAGAGAGAGAACTAGAAGGGACCTGGGGCTCTCTGTTCTCTCTGGAAGCAGCTGAGTTGCCTCTTCTCTAATCTTCTGTAGTTCAGGTTGGCTTGGTTTGGCATGGCTTTGGGGTTGGGAGTTTGGTGCCCCTGTTCTACCACCAATCCACAAGTCCAGCCCCTAGGCTTTTTCTTACTCTGCTGCTGCAAGGAGAGAAGAGCAGGGCTGAGGATCCTCTGCTGCCTGGGTGTGTTTGTAGAAAACCCTGCCTGCCCCGCTCCAAGGCCACTGGGGTGGAATTGGGCAGGATGAAGGAAACCCACCCTGTGGGAGATGAGCGAGGTTCAAGAGAGCATATTCCTGCCAAGAACTCAGAAACCGGACACAGCAGGGATTCTAATGAGAGTCTCTTGGCTCAGCCAGCAGGATTATGTCTAACAGTGATTAATAAATGCTTTTTGATAATGATGATGAGAATGTGTAATAATTGCAGGGTTCATTTACCTCTCTCTTGTACTTCCCTACCTGTGGAAAGGCAGGGAACCTCTTAATGAGCATAAATCCCATTTTAAATGGAATGGAGAACTGTCTCCATAGCACTTAAATGAAATGTGCTGTTTCCATCAGCATTCTTTTGAGATCTAGAAACATTTTTGGCCTTTTACAGCAGTAAAGGAGATTACTCATAGCTGTGTTACAGTTTAGCACATGTTTAATGTTTCTATTAAAGTGTTTCTACTTACCAAGTTTACTTAGCAGGACCTGATCTTCATGTGTTAGACTGAATCTGCACTGTTATTTCCAGAGGCTTTGCATACACTACACTCAGGGCTTTCAGAAGGCCCAACCTCATTCTGCCCCTGCCATATATAGTGAATTGTTCCCAGCTCTGCTGCAGAGAGATCAGAATACATCCCAGGCTAAATCAAGCACATACCACTTCTTAGCTATAGCCATAAGTGTCCAAAACTTCACAATTACTAACACTAAAAATGGGAAATTCACTTTAGTTCTGCAGGATGGGTTAATAGTTTACAAATGGAGATTTTATGCCCTTAAAAATTAAAAAAGGGCCAGGTGCCGGTGGCTCACGCCTGGAATCCTAGCTACTCAGGAGGCTGAGATCTGAGGATCACGGTTCATACCCAACCCGGGCAAGAAAGTCTGTGAAACTCTTATCTCCAATAAACCACCAGAAAACCGGAAGTGGCGCTATAGCTCAAGTGGTAGAGTGTAACAGAGATCAAGCCCCACGACTGACAATAAAAAGGGGAGTAGGAGTTAGCTCTGTGGAAGAGCATGTATGAGACCCCTAGTTTATCCCAGAACTGCACCAAATTAAGAAAAGACCAAAAGCTGGGCACCAGTGGCTCACACAAATCCTTAACTACTCAGGAGGCTACAGTCTGAAGATTGCAGTTCAAAGCCAGCCTGGGCAGGAAAGTCCATGGGACTCATCAACAGTTAATCATCAAAAAGCCTGAAGTGGAACTGTGGCTCAAGTGGTAGAGTGCTAGCCTTGAGCAGGAAAGCTAATGAGTTGGTAGATCTTTGAAAATACTCCTTTTATGTTTTGAATTCCAATTTCCTGTGTTTCCAGGGGCTTAAAATCACATTATTAATCACATTGTTAATGCAGGGGAGAGGAATGTGGGTCTGGGATGTGGCTTGGTAATAGAGTTCATGTTTAGCATGTACAAGAAAGGGTCTGGGTCCATCCCCAGCCCTACATACAATCATTTGTCCTTGTTCTACACTGTTATCTATGAAATGAAACTGGGACACAGAAGTTCTGTCCCATCTATGTATGTAGATAGTCAAAATACTTAAAATAATAACTTTTTTCCACTTACAGGGTTCTGTTTCCATATGTTCTTCTCACTTACTTTTCCTCCCAAATAGCAAACGACAATCTCACTTCAAGATGATTACTTGACAGAAAGCTTTCATCCTTAGAACAAATTGATCCATTTTCATGCCTACCTTAGGTAACCAGACTAGAGGACCCCAAGGCAAAAAGGCCGGGCTGGAATATATAGTGAGACCCTGTCTCCAAAGAGCAAAGCAAAACAAACACAAAAGGGCTGGGGATGAGTTCCGGGGTAGAGTATTTGTGTGGCATGTCCAAGGCTTTGGCTTCATCCCAGCCCTTCAAAAAAAAAAAAAAAATGAAAACAGTAAAAAAGCAAAGTGAAAGCTGAATGCCAGAGGCTCACACCTGTAATCCAAGCTACTCAGGAGGTTGAGATCTGATGATTGAGGTTTGAAGCCAGCTGGGGCAGAAAAGTTCTGTGAGACTCTTATCTCCAATTAACCATGCTAAAAGGGGCTTATCTCCAATTAACCACACTAAAAGGGGAAGTGGCCCTGTGGCTCAAATGGTAGAGTGCCAGCCTTGAGCACAAAGAGGCTCAGGGCAGTACTCAAGCCCAGAGTTCAAGCCCTACAACAACAACAACAACAAAAAGGCAAAGTGAGCTGGGCGCCAGTGGCTCACACCTGTAATCCTAGCTACTCAGGAGGCTGAGATTTGAGGATCTCAGTTTAAAGCCAACCCAGACAGGAGAGTCCATTAAGACTCTTATCTCCAAGTAACCACCAAAAAACCAGAAGTGGAGCTGTGGCTGAAGTAGTAGAACACTAGCTTCAAAATGAAAAAGCCTAGAGACAGTGCTCAGACCCTGAGTTCAAGCCCAGGACCAGCAAAAAAAAAAAAAAAAGCAAAGTACTAGACATGACAATTTCCTACCAAACTTTTATTAAGTTCAGTTTAATGAAATTCTATTTTCTTCAGAATTCTAAGATGAAACTTAAAATAATCTTAAATAATTCTTAGATGCCTTTTTTTCTCTGTCCCTGCTTCCCATCTGTCTTTTAGGTAAAGAAGTTAAAAACGTTTAATGGTGATGTGTCCAAGCTGTCCCTGGCCGACTCTTTTCTTCACTACCTAATTCAGGTGCCAAAGTAAGGCCACACCCACTGATTGTTGCTCTTTCTGAAGTAAGATTGAAGCTGACATTGAATTTACAGTTTTACTTTTTATTTCTAGCTATTCACTTCGAATCGAAGCCATGGTGCTAAAGAAGGAATTTTTACCTTCTTGTTCTTCTCTATACACAGATATAGCCATTTTAAGAACTGCTACAAAAGGTAAGCAAATACATGGATCTCTATATAGTTTTTTTTATTTTTAAAAATACACATCTACACACTCCATATGTGTTTGTTTACTTATTTTTGGTGGTACTGGGATTTGAACTTAAGGCCCCATGCTCTCTAGGCTGTCACTCTACCACATGAGCCACACTCCCAGCCAGCCCAGCTTTTAGCTTGTTATTTTAGAGATGAATTCTAGAGAACTTTTCTGTCAGGGCTGACTTTGAATCACAATTCACTCTCAACCTCCCAAGTAGCTGGGATTATAGGTGTGGGGCACTGGTGCCTGCCTATACCCGGTTATTTATTGTTTTTTAAATTTCAGTTGGAATTAGAAATGGAAGATCTCATTTCTAAGATACTCTAAAAAAGGAATTGAGATTTAGTAGGGATTCATTTAAAGGTATTTCCATTTGCTTTTTTCCTCTACTGAATATTAGCTTGTAGATTATCTTCCATGGTAGAAAGTTTTTTAACCTCAGCTTTCAGAGGAAATCTAGTTGAATCTTGCTTTTGTTCTTCAACTTGGTTAGCTTTCCGTAGTGTGTTAATGGAATGCATAGTATGTGGTCTGTATGAGGTGTGTATATTATGTGCTGTGTGTCTGGTATATGTCTGCGTAGCCTGTAATGTGTTTACATCATTGTGTGTGCATATAGTATGTGCTTTCTGTTGTGTGTGGTATGTACTATGAATGTTGTATGTGTTGTGTGTGTTATTTGTAGTGTGTATCTGTGTGTGTGGTATATACTGTGGTTGTGGGGTATTTTATATGTTTGTGAGATAGAACATGAACACGGGAGGAGGTATGTATAGTGTGGTTGTGTGTGTGGATGGGGTGTATTGTGTGTGTGATGTGTAGTGTTATATCTATATGTGTCTGTAATGTGGACATTGTAGTGTGGATAATCATGTGTATGGGTGATATGTATGAATATAGATCGTCTTATGTATGATCAATAGCATATGTATATATGCATGGTGTTTGTGTGTGTGTGTTTACTATGCATGTTTACTATGCAATGGACATAAAGCTGTGTGAAGGTGGTTCTCTGGGCTCACAACCTTGGCCCTGGACCCACTGCGCCTCCTTCCTGCTCTGGTCTCCAGACTGGGCCCTGACTGTCCAGCAGCAGATCTCCCTTGCAGGCCTTAGCAGTGTGACTCCCTAATATGGGTCCTGAGGTTTCTCATCTGGGGTGTCTTCTCCTACTCATTCCTCCAGGCCCACTTGGGTTTTAGGGGAACAAGTCAGTCATTTTCGCTTCCCATCACTGCTGCCCAGCCTCTCCCTGATCTATGTCAGAATCCTCTCCCTCTGTAAGGCTGGAGCCTTCATTTCTGGCCTTTTTAAGGCCTTGAGAATTTAACTCCCTCCCTCTCCCCCACATTCCCGGTTTCCTCTTGCTGGGTGTCTGGGCTTGAATTATTGTTGAGGAACTGTCTATTCCTATTTGGTTTTCCTGTTTAGTTGCTCTGGACTGTGCTGAGATAAAAGTTTGCCCTCAGCACACCATGGTTTCTTAATTTTAGAAAGACGCTATACTTCTTGTTTAGAAGCCTTTTCTGATTTGTTCCCATACCAAGGCCATGGCAGCAACTTTAGAAGGTGGTTCTTCCCGTCCCTATAGTGATGGAAGAACATGTTTTCATATTGAGCAATGCAAATTTGTAGGCATGGAGAAAACTTTTCTTATCTGAATAACCTTCCCAAACTGGCCCTCTTAGATAACAAAATATAGACACGGTTCCAAATATAATGATCAAACATACTGGGGAATACTAAATATCACAGATGATATTCTGTTATCTCTGTATATAATCAAGTTTTCTCTTTAGCCTCTCAAATTATTACATTTTTCAATTTTTTCTTTACATAACTGTACAAGAGATTTGCTATTAATAAAGAAGTAGCTTGCCCATTGCTGTAATAAATTAATCCCTTTTTTCATTGCCCTCAGTCAATCCAGAGTAAATACTACACTTTGAATAAAACGGAAAGCTGATCTGAGAGCTGAGGGCGGGAAGCCCTGAGGTAGATGCTTTGCGTCTATTTACATGTCATCCCAGCCTGATTCATTTTTTTATCTTTTCATAGCCCTTTGGCTAAACAAACTGTTGCTTGCTCTTGGTTTTCATATTGCATAAATACGTTCAAAGAGGCTAGTGGATATAAAGGGAAAAAGTTAGAAATATAATTGCTGGAGGAAAGACGGTTAATTCCTACAACACACTGCTCTGCTTTTCCTCAGACTGTGTGTGTGTGTGTGTGTGTGTGTGTGTGTGTGTGTGTGTGTGTGTGTGTGTGTGTGTGTGTGTGTGTGTGTGTGTGTGTGTGTGTGTGTACGCGCACGCGTGAACGCGCGCATGCCAGTACTGGGGCTTGAATTCAGAACCTTGCACTCTTGCTTGGTCTGGCTTATGGCTGGCATTTCTGCCATTTGAGCCACATCTCCACTTCTGGCTTTTTGCTGTCAATTGGAGATAAGAGATTTCTCTGCCCAGGCTGGCTTCAAATGGCAGTTCTCAAATCTGAGTCCCCTGAGTAAGCTAGGATTACAGGTGTGAGCCACCAGCACCTGGCTTTCCTTAGGCTTTTTATAGTTTCTACTAGTTGAAAACTTTTCTTATTAAACTGTTTTGTGGTATTTGACAATCCTTGACATCCCTAGCTCAACACTGTGACTAAATATCATTAGTGGAGTGTGTGTGTGTGTGTGTGTGTGTGTGTGTGTGTGTGTGTGTGTTGGAAGACTCCTCTGAGGCACTGTTGTGTGTTCTTTCTAACAGAGCTCATGTCATGTGAGGAGCTCCATTCAATATTACACTTGGTGCTCCAGGCTGGGAATATCATGAATGCTGTGAGTAAAATCCACAACAATTCAGCAGTTGTGTTTGAAGCTTTATTGTCTGCCTAAAGTCATAACATGTTCCTTTTCTTGCTTTATCTTTATAGGGAGGGTATGCCGGCAACGCAGTAGGATTTAAACTATCTTCTTTGCTCAAATTGGCAGACACAAAAGCAAACAAACCTGGGATGAATCTTCTGCATTTTGTCGCACAGGTAGGAGGAAACAATTAATACAGAGAGAACATATGTGAATCCGTATTGGAGAATGGGAAGCTTGTTCCATACATGAGACATGATGTCTGAGTTAGGAGAGGACGTGGCAGGTTCCAAGAAGATTCTCTTTTCAGATCCCCTATTTGCAGATGCCGAGGTTGAGCTGTGGGTCTATAGAGCTGCTGGGGAGTGGATGAGTGAGGCAGAGGCTGAGAAGCCCTCTGGAAGGAGTCAGATATCCGAGGTGCAGAATTGGAATTCCATACTTGCAATGGGAAGCTAGCAGGAGTTTACGCACAGCAGAATGGCATGAACAGTTTTGAGTGGAGGTAGAAAAATAAGGCAGGTGGACACTGGATTAGAGTGGAGCGAGAATGAGAAATAGAATTCATCTTGGTGGCAGTTGTCTCTATCTGGTGAGAGTTGGAGAGGGTCATGGCCCTGGGGACGGAGAGAAAACTGGATGGTGGGTGAACCACTTCTGTGAAATGGATAGAAATTATGTCCACTTGGGTGTATAGAATGTGTTTATGTCCTTTGAGAAAATGTTGGAGTACTTTGCTGCTATTAAAGGGTTTGGAGCCTACCCATGCGTTCTTTTTGTTGGATCCCACTTGCTCTGCCACTGAGCTACATCCCAAGTCAATTGCCTCTTATTTTGACAGAACACCAGAATAGCTTGGCCTAAAGGGTGATTGTCTCTTTGTAATTAAACAACCTCAACTAATTGCTTATTAATTGCTTATTATTGCTAATTATTTGCTTTCCCTTCTTGGAATTCCCTGTTTTCACACCAGTGACAGGCATCTTTGACCTGAGAAGGAAACTACCTGCATGCATAGTTCTACTTCCTCACACAAGTTAAAGACCTTGAGACCCTCTATTTCATTTTTGTGCAGTACTAGGGCTTGAACTTGGGGCCTTGCACTCTTGCTTGACTTTTTCATTCAGGGCTGGTGGTCTGCTACTTGAACCACAACTCCACTTCCAGCTTTTTGGTCGTTAATTGGAGATAGGAGTCTAATAATGACATTGGGGGGGAGGGGGCTGGGCTGTCTTTGAAGTGCAAGCCTCAGATGTCAGCTTCCTGAGTAGCTAGGATAACAGGTGTGAGCCACCGGCAACCAGCTTCTCTATTTCTTTATCTAATTATGAAGCAAGGATAACTTACTCCAAGCTGGGTAATGGAAAGGACTGGAAGGGACACTTCCATAAAGGGCCTAGCTCAATGTTTGGCCTTTAGAACATTCCCTATACATAGCATACACTATATGACTGTATGACCGTATTCTTCAGAAGATAGAGGGCCATGCTTAACTCAGTATTTGATAGATTTTTGTTTTGCTGTGTGAGAATGGAACTTGAGGCCTTGTGTGTGCTAGAGTACTGAGCCAGACTTAAGGACTTGTTTGAAAAGTTCATTTTTCAAGGCTTTCAGGGGGAAAAAAATCTGCATTTTCTATCTAGCCTACCCACTTTTTGGCAGACTGTATTCCATTCTGTTTGTCCGCTGACTCTGGGTAATTTGGCCATTGAATGGGGGAAGGAAGCTTTCAGAGTTAGTAACAGCTCCTTTCCCACCTGCCTTCCTCTCACCTCCCAGCAGGTACCTACTGATTAAACTCAGTATGCAAACTGGTTTTACAGCAGAGAGTATCTTACGCCTTTAAAAACACACTCAGAGGTATGGGTGATATTTAAGCAGGATATATTGGATTCTCTTAGAAACAATAAGCCTGCTAAATTGCCACCTCTTCCATTGAGTTGCAATGCACATGAGTTGTATTCCATGGCAGATTACTTGCTGTGTCTGAGAATTGAGGTTTTTCTGGTAAATATGAAGATAGCAGAGTTCCTGTCTCTGGGAATTGCTGAGAATATATCAAGGTGTCAAAAGACACAAGAAGTTGAAGGCTCCTTTAATCTGGAAGAAAATGATTTCCTTTAATCTATCCAGTGAGGGAATATTCTGGTTTTGTTCCAGGAAGCTCAAAAGCAAGATGCTGTTCTTCTAAACTTTTCTGAAAAGCTGCATCATGTTCAAGAGGCTGCAAGGTAAGCAAAGAGGGCAGAGGATATGCATTGTGATGGCTGGGCTGCAGCTCAGTGGCAGAGCAGTTGCCTAGCAAATGCAATGTCCTATGTTTGATTCCTCAGTACAAAAAAAAAAAAAGACAAAAAAAAAGTGCATTGTGAGAATCCAGTTTTCTTAATGGTCCTCTTAGGAAAATGGCTGAGAAGTTAGAACTCTTAGATTTGAATATGAACTTTGAAAAGCTTTCTTAGTGTGTGTGCACACATATGCCAATACTGGAGCTTGAAATCAGGAATGGGTGCTGTCCATTAGCTTTTGCCACTCAAGGCTGGTGCTCTAATTTTTAAGCTACACCTCTGCTTTTGGCTTTTTGGTAGTTATTTGGGTATTAGTATCTCACAGACTTTTCTGCCTAGGCTGGCTTCGAACCATGATCCTCAGATCTCATACTACTGAAAATCTAGGAGTATAGAGATGTGTTACTAGTGCCCAACTTAAAAAGATTTCTGTTAGACTTTCAGAACTTCTTTTAATTTGTTTAAAAGAAATTTGTTTGGAGAAAATTGATGTTTTTTTTAAAATTTAAGCTTTATTTTTAAACTAAAAGAAACAATGTTAGTCTATCCTATGAGTATCACCAGTTTAAAAAAATATATAGCTTAAGAACTTCAAATCCTTCCACACCCAAAAAATTCAAACAACACAGCTTATTATCCTGGGAGTTGGTTCCTATCAGTCAAACGGAGAGCCATACATCACTGTTTCCTTGTGGAATCTAGCATGGTCCATTTATTTTCTATTACATTAAAAGGGTTTGGAACCATACCAAGAGCTGTGACAGGATTTGATTTTTAAATTAGTCACTCAGTGTGACAGAGAAAGTACCTACCAAGCATAAAGCTCTAATTACATAACTCTAATTTGCTTTTAATCCTAATATAGGTGTATATTTTAAGGTGGCTATAATCTGTGAGAATGTCCTATTTTGAGTTCTTATAATACATATCTGTGCATCCCATGGTATTATTTCAAATAACTAGTTCTTCAAAGAAAATCCCTCTGATTTGTTACCGTTGCCAGCCTGGCTGACTTCAGGCTGTCCCGTGGAGTTACTCAGTGTAGAGCAGGAAGAGTTTGCTCAGCTCACCACTGCATGTGTGGACCCAGTTCATATCTCTGTACTTTTTCTTTTTTCTTTTTAGTACTGGGCTGTGAACACACAGGTCTTTACACTTGCTAAGCTGGTGCCCTGCCACTTAAGGCATACCTCCAGCCCTGTTTTAATGCTAGTGATTTTCAAGATGGAGTCTAGCAAACTTTGCTGCTGAGGCTGGCCATGAATCTAGATCCTCCAGATCTCATCCTCCTGAGTAACTGAGATTATAGATGTGAGCCACCAGCACATGGCTTCCCACAGATCTCCAGTCCCTGGGCTCAAGCACTCCTCTTGCCCCACTTTCTGAGTAGCTAACACTATGGGTGTGTACCACCACACCCGACTATGTCATATATTTTGTGTATGTGTGTGTACGTGTGTGTTTGTGCATGGTATTGGAGTCTTAACTGAAGGCTTCCTGCTTGCTAGGTTAAGTGCTCTACCACTTGAACCATGCCCTGGTCCTTTTGTTCTTAGTTTGCTTTTCAGATGGAATCTTGTGCTAACTTTGCCTAGATTAGTCTTAAACATCAGTTCTCCTACCTCCACCTCCCTGTATCTGGGACCACAGGCATGTGCCACCACACCCAGCCTATCATGTACTTATTATATGTGTGACTCTAGCCAGCTATGATAGCTATGAACCATCTGCATATAAACAAATGAACCACAGCTCATAGCCCTGTCATTGGCCAGTATCTCACTGATACTAACTTTATGAACACGTAACCACAGATTATATGCCTTTCCAAAAGGAGAATTATCAGTGCAGAGGTATAAACATTTCATAATTCATGTTTACAGATTACTAGATTATGATGTAAAAATGAATATGTTCATCTTATGACACAGACTTATTCACTTTTTAATGTTGTGTGAAATTATTTTTATTCTGACTAGTATAGAACTATTATCAAGAGATATGTAAGGAGAAACTACCATTACTTTCTTTCCTTCCTTTCTTCCTTTCTTGCTTTCTTTGTTGTTATTGTTTTTGGTGGGACTTGGGTTTGAACTCAGGGTCTTTAGTTTGCTAGACTGGTGTTCTACCACTAAGCCACATGGCCAGCCCTATTCTTCACTGGTTATTTTTAGTATAAGAGTCTCACTTCCTGCCCACTGGGAGTCTCCATGAACCTACTTTATAGTTGTTAGGATCATAGGTGTGAGCTATCATGTCTAGATTCCCTCCATAGAGATGGAGTCTTTCTGCCTGGGCTGCTCTAGAACTTCAGTCCTCTTGTTCTCAAGCCATGTAGCTTGAGATGACTGCATACAATTGCACCCAGCTATGAGTTGAGAAGGGTTCTCATGAACTTTCCTGCCCTTACTAGCTTTGAACTACATTCCTCCTGATTTCAGACTTCCAAGTAGCTGGGATTACAGAAATGAGCCACCGGCCTCTGGCTACCATTACATTTCTAGCTAGCAAAAAATCAGTTTAGCTAGATAATACCTTAGAAAACATCCTTTTGGTAAGGCTTGCTTATTTGAAATGGAGGGTTGAATACATGGGTGTATCCGATCTCAGATAGGACCAATAACCAATGAAGATAAAAATTTTCATTGCACTAAGAAAGACAAGAGAGTTGGGCACCAGTGGCTCACACTTGTGATCCTAGCTACTCAGGAGGCTGAGATCTAAGTATCACAATTCGAAGCCAGCCAGGTGGGAAAGTCCATAAGACACTAATACCTAATTAATCACCAAAAAGCCAAAACTGGAATTGTGGTTCAAGTAGTATAAAGCCAGCCTTGAATGGAGAAAGCTAATGGACAGCACCTAGGCTCTGAGTTCAAGCCCCAGTACCAACACACACACACACACACACACACACACACACACACACACACACACAAAACAAACAAAAAATCTATACAACTGGCACTGGTGATTCATGGCTACTCAGGAGGCTGAGATCTGAGAATCGTGGCTGAAAGCCAGCCTGGGCATGAAACTCTGTGAGACTCTTATCTCCAATTAACCACCAAAAAGCCAGAAGAGGAGCTGTAGCTCCAAGTGGTAGAGAGCTGGCCTTGAGTACAAAATCTAAAGGATAGCACCCAGGCCCTGCGTTCAAGCCCCACAACTAGCACAGAAAACAAAGCCATCCATCATGTTCTACTAATCTTGACTTGATGCATGTAACAGAATCATTACAATCAATCTGATCATTCACTCTCAGAGCTGGTGGCTGTGTTTTAGTGCTCTATACAATAGGGAGAGTGTGTGTGGCTACCTGTGAGACGTAGTGTCTGCTTAGTTTCTCCACGGGGCCCTTAGTACTGGGACTGTGGGCCTCTATTGCCTTGCCTTTTGTGGGCTAGAGCTTACTAATCCAGGGAAAGCATTGTGTGGTGATGCTGTTGCATAAAGGTGTTCAGACCTGCTTTATGAAAAGCTTTGCAAATCATGGGGCTTGAGTTGCCACATCTCCAAGAACAGTGACGGCCTGTGCCCTGAACCAGCGTGTGTGTGTGTCCATCAAACAGATGGAACTGGTTTAACATACCCACACCTTGTGCCAACTGCCCACTCTCCCCTTCCTTCTCTAGATTATCTCTGGATAACACCGAGGCGGAACTGCGCTCCCTCTTTGTCAGGACGAGATCGCTTCAGGAAAATGTCCAGCGGGATGGGGAGCTCTGCCAGCAGATGGAAGATTTCCTTCAGGTCAGTCCCTCAAATCTCAGCCTTCGGCAGCCCTGGAAAGGCTGCCTCAGTTTCCCCTGGGTGAATTGCAGAGTAGCAGGCTCTCATTTATAGTTCCCCAAAGCTAGTACAAGGAACCTATACTGCTCCATAAACATGCCAGATCCACCTTCCTGTGGTGAACCTATAGCAGCCTGGGGCATTGACGCTCCAACTCTGCCCAGCAACTCAACATCTGGTTGTACACCTGTCATGGTTTTGGAACACAAAGTTCTATTGAAATCTCCCTACATTGCAGGACCCAGGCCAATCTTCCTTTTGTTTTTGTTTTTCTGAAGGGCCAGTACCAGGGCTTGAACCTAAGAGTCTTACACTCTTGCTTGGTTTTTTAGCTCAAGACTGACACTCTACCACTTGGGCCACATCTTCACTTTGGGCTTTTTGCTGACTAATTAGTGATAAGAGTCTCATAGATTGTCTTCCCTGGGCTAGCTATAAACAAGGAACCTCCGATCTCAGCCTTCTGAGTAGATAGGGTTACAGGTATAAGCCACTGGTGCCCATCCCTGATCATCGTCCTTCCTTCTTGGGACCACTGCACATGGATGGGTATGGGTTTTGGGCAGCAGAACACACATAGTTACTCTGCCTGTCAACATTGGAACATCAGCCCACAGGGTGTGTCAGGAGCTGCTCTGAATAACATCAACAAAAACTAGCAGAGTGGACATGTTTGTGGCGGCTCACCATGACTCACTAATCACATAGTCTGACATCTTTTTAATCTGCTTTATTAAAAGAGAAAAAAAAGTGGCACCGTTTCCTGCTGTTAGTCTTCTACGAGATAGGATGCAGCCATTAGCTCAGTAGCTAAGACCCATGACTGGGAGTTGTGGAGCAGAGTTACCTGCGTGCTAGGTTGGAACAGTGAGGGCCGGGGCTTTGTGCATTCACTGGGCTCCTTTGAATAGTATATGTCCTTCAGCTCCACCTGCAAATGCTGCATTGTGTGTGGCTCTGCTGTGAGTTTATTTTTATTATTAAACATGTTCTCCGTTTACTTTCAAGCATAACCAGACTCATACCTTTTGGGATTTGTTGTTTGTTTTTTGGTGCTGGGGATGAGACCCAAAGCCTCTTGCATGCTAGGCAGGTGCTCTGCTCACAGTCCCTTCACATAGACACATTTTTCTCCTAGTGCAACAACAAAGCAAATGCTACTACCATCATTGCTTCAGTACCACCAAACAGTATTGAGCACAGTTGGATGAACAAAAGAAATTATGAAATTCAAGAGTAAGAACTGCCACGTGTCACAGTGAAGAATTTGGATATTTCTTTCCTTCTCCCAAGTTTTTACCTTAAGTTTAATATTTTATGCTAAATCTCTCTCTCTCTCTCTTTCTCTCTCTCTCTGTCTTTTTTTTGTCTCTCCCACCTTCCTCTCATGGAGCTAGGGATTAAACTCATGACTTCTGTGTGCTAAGCACTCTACTGCTAAGCTGTATCTTCCACAATTAAACTAAACCTTAATATAGAACCCCCCTTTTTTTTGGCAAAGGTATGGAATTTGAACTCAAGGCCTCTTGCCTTCAAGGTAGGCTTTTTATAGTTAAGTTCTACCTCTAGTCACTAATTTTTGTGATGAGGTCTCCCTTCGTACCCTGGTGCATGCTCAGGCGTCAGTCCACCTATTTTAGCCTTCCTGTCATAGCTGGGATGACACACTCATACTACCAAGGACTTCAGGAACTTTTCTGCCCAGGCTGGCCTGGAACTGCAATCCTCTTGATGTTAGCCTCCCATGAAGCTACAGTGCCAGGCCATGAACCCCTGGCACCTAGCTGTGCAATGGGATTTGGGATGAAAAATGTCTCTACTCTCTCCTTACCTATAGACCATTGTTTTAGTTCTTTAAACTTTTCTTACTGGAAGTTTTTGTTTCTTTGGGATATAATTTTATTTTGTTGGTGGTGGTAATTGCTATGTAAGTGCTATACCACTGAGCTATGCCCCATGCCCTGTCAATTGCTTTTATCTCTGAAAATAAAATATGATACATAGCTAGGTATTTTTCTTTCTTAAATAGTGAGACAAAGTTTTTTAAAATGGGTTAGGATCGGAGCATGAAGGGCTGTGAAGTCTCAGGACCTGCTGTGGTAAGCAGAATGGGTCAGCTTGTGGGGAGTTGTTTGTTGGGCCTTTTTCTTGCATACTTAGATAAACCTAGGGCAAGCCCTAACCTCTGTTCAAGATTTTTGAGAAAGATCATTGGAACACTTTTTTTCTGCAGATCAGTTTCAACATTTTGAAATAGATTTTGGGCAAGCCATACTGGTTTGGAACTTTGATCCCTAGCAGTCAAGTTCAAGGTGAAAGTTCAGTCTCTATGAAAGAGAATAAGCCCTTTCACCAGTGCAACTTTGGACTTTTGTGTCCCTGGTCCTGTGGGACTCAAGACACATGACTCAACTATGTTTTTTTTTCTCAGATCAGCGGCCAGAGCCGTTCATTTTCCCTGGTGCGGGGCTGGCTTTGGTGTGGGCCTGTCGCCCAGGGTCTGCAGAGCAGGGACCTGGCAGAGCCCAGCTCCCAGCATAGGCTTTTGTCAGGAAGACTATGCTTCTCCAGTTGAGCTATTCTTGGCTGGAATCCATATTTCCCCTTCAGAAGAATGACAGGCAAAGATTTATCCCTTCATGAATGTTCGTCTCTCCATAAAGAAAGATAGAGTATAAACACGCATACTGCCGTGGGCTACTGACTCAGATGGTTACTGTCTCTGGTATTCACTTTCCTACATAGTTTAGATTTTCTACTACCTCTAGAATGTGTTTGATTTAAAAGAAAAGGCCATTTAGGGGGAAAGTTGTTGGAATGAGGGGGAGGTGGTGGGTCTGAGCTGGCAGGACGTGCTCAGACAGTAAGTCCTCCTCAAAAGTGGGCAGCTTGCAGCTTCTGCCGCACCATAGTTCCAACCCCCTCATTCCAAGAGTAGTTGTTCACATTTAAGCCCTTGGGCTACGTGTAGTGGCTCACACCTGTAATCCCAGCTACTTGGGAGGTAGAGATCAGGAAGATCTTAGTTCAAGGCCTACGTAGACTCCATCTTAATAATCAAGCTGAATGTGTTGGGACTTGTTTGTAATCCCAGCTATGCTGGGGGCATTGGTAGAAAGATTGCAATACAAGGCTACTCCTGGGGCAAAAGCCAAGATCCTGGGCTGGGAAGGTGGCTCAGTGGTAGAGTGCTTGTCTTGCATGCATGAGGCCCTGGGTTCGATTCCTCAGCACCACATAAGCAGAAAAAAGCCAGAAGTGGCATTGTGGCTCAAGTGGTAGGGCGCTAGCTTTGATCTGAAGAGCTGAGGGACAGCACCCAGGTCCAGAGGTCAGCCCTCACAACAACAATAACAACAACAAAAGCTAAGATTCTATCTGGAAAAAATGACTGAAGGCCAAAAGAGCTACTAGAGCACCTGTTAAACAAGCTCCAGACCCTAAGTTCAAAGCTCAGGTTGCCACACACAGACAAAAAAGAAGAAAAATAGCCCATTTTTGGAAAGACAGGACATGTGATTTCACCGAGTAGCAAATTTCCTTCCTGTAAACTGCATTTCCCCATCAGCAGGCAAGGGAAGATTTCCACATCATTCCAGATGTTCCATCTCCCAGGTGATGGGGAAGAAATGCTCCCTCCCTCACCACACCGCCTCACCATTAGCTCTTGAGGTGCTTGCTCACCTGCCCCAGGACACTGCAGGTGGCAGGTGGCTGGGGCTCCTTGGGTGACCCTGTTATCCTACTGGAGTTGGGAGAGTAATGCAGTGGAAATGGCACAGGGTTAGACTCTGCTGGGTTTTTAGTGAAATGTCGATGTGGGTCTATCTCAAATCTACTCTCTGCATGTGGGGTTCAAGCGTGGACTGTGACTAGCCCTTCCCAGCTGACTTGGACAGTAGTCCACGCTAAAGCACCCCTCTTAGTGATCTGATAGGCTCAAGCGTAGACTCCCTCTGGACAGGGCAGCGTGGGCAGTTTGTCAGGACAAACCCTAAAGACAACCCTTGCCAATAGAAGAGTCAAGTTTGAGAGAAAGAAGAATAGGAACAGGAGATTTTCCTAATAAAACCAACCTTTCTAGTGACCTTCAAGGTGAAAATTTTATCAGCACCCTCTACATTAGCTTTAAATCTGTTTTTTTCTTCTGGTTATTGTGGGGGGAGGGGGTTTAGATGGAGATCTCATTGTGTAGCCCTGGCTAACCTCAGTCTGACTCAGCCTCTCAAATTCTGGGGTTATAGGATTATAGGCATGCACTACCATGCCTGATTCTTCCATTTTGTGGTTTAGGAGAGAGAGATGAGCTCCTAGCTTTCCCCAAGTTCAGTTGGAGTTGACTTATACAGCAGTCATGCAGTAACCCTTCCCTTCCCAGAGACTTGAGATGGGACTCTGGCAGTGTGTCTTCCTGAGTACTTCAGATCACGCTGCTTCAGCTGATCTGTGTATTGCACTGAGTCTGTCTGTGTCTCTGCAGTTTGCCATGGAGAAGCTGTCGGAACTGGAGCACTGGAGACGGGAGCTGCAGGGAGAGTCTCATACCCTCATAGATTTTTTCTGCGAAGACAAAGAAACCATGAAGCTGGACGAATGCTTCCAGATATTCAGAGACTTCTGCACCAGATTCAACAAAGCAGTTAAGGTATGGCCAGTGGCATCGTTGCGTTTCCAGACTCTGACTTTTTGCTTTGATCCAATTCTCTGTCCATGGGACAACAGTTCGGTCTAGGGGTTCTGTGGTTTCCGGAAGTGTCAGGCTGGGTTGTGACACAGGTCCTCTCCTGTGATGGTCAGTGGTGGCTCTGATGTGGCATGGTGTCTTAGTGTTCACATCAGCATACGTAACGCCCTAAAAGTGTTCCATTCATAGACCTTCTCAAGGATGGAAGTCACAGTGTCTAAGAATCTCCCTAACAGCCTGTCTCTCTTGCTCAACCCAAGTGGATTAAAGAGTGCTTGTTTTCAGAGTTTCTGTGGTCCACCTAGAGGAAAGGCCTCTCTTTTACTCATCTGCAGCCCCGCATCATTGCCATGGCACTGGCTCTATAAGGACCCTGTTGTTCTTTGTAGCATGGCCTCCGATAGTTTCCCCTATCTAGGGACCACACCCCTGTATGGATCACAGCAGCCATGCTTCCTCCCCTCAGCTGCCAATTCCATTGCTCTCTGAGTTGAATTTGGAAGTCATAAATCAAACTTCTGTTAAGTAACACCAAACAATAAGCCATGGTGGCTCATGCCTATAATCCTAGCTATTCAGGAGGCTGACATCTGAGAATTGCAGTTAGAAGCCAGCCTGAATAAAAAATGTCTGTGAGACCTCTCTCTCCAATTAATCAATCTCTCTCTCTCTGTTCCTCTCTCTCACTCTTTCCCCTCTTCCCCCTCTCTTTCTCTCTCCCACTCTCCCCCCCCATACACACACACACACACACACACACACAGCCAAATGTGATGGTGGCTCAAGTAATAGAACACTATCCTTGGGCAAAACAGGTCAGGGACAGTGCCCAGGCCCTGGGTTCAAGCTCCTGGACCCACAAAAGAAAAGAAAAAAGAAAAAGTAGCTCTCATCTTTCATTTCAGGTAGCCCCAAGGAGCCACATACCCCCAAATTATCTCTTGTCCTATATTTTATTTTGTTTATTGATTTATTTAGTTGGTGCTAGGGATCAAACCCAGGGCTTACACTGTTACCCTAAATGCAGATCTATCCATGGCTGGATCTCTGGGAAAGACTGGGCACATTCCTCACAAGCTCAGAATTACTTGGATTTTCCAGCCTCTCCTTTCTCTGTCCAGCTGAGGGGAGGAGACTGAGCCTGTGGCCACGTTGATGTACTTCTATCCAAGCAGTGAGCTCAGCTGTGGGAGACTGTGGAGGATGGGGGAAGCCAAATTGGCTCTTTCTGAGGAGCTCAGTCCATGTCCAAATCCTACAAGCCTATAAGGCCACCTGCATAGCGCATTCTACCTGAGAGCCAAGACCTAGCCCCTCCCACCAGAGCAGCCTGCATGGGAGACGGCTGAGAGAGATGGGAATGATGGGAGGCCAGAAGGCCGATGCCGGAGCTGTAGGAGGAGCAGGAGTCCTCAGCCAGCGCCTCACAGAAGCTTGGCCAGGAAAAGTTCATTGGAGGAGGAAGTGGATTTTCAAACAAAAAAATTGCTAACAAGAACAGATTTGGGTGGTGATGTCTGTGTAATTATGTAATTACACACACAGATGTCACAATCCAAAAGAGTTGTGATTTGTGACACAGCCAGCTCTCCATGGCCACCATTCCACATCTGCAGCTTCAGCCAACCCCAAGTTGTAAATACCTTAAGAAACTACATCAGTGCTTGGTATAGTGGCTCATGCCTATCATCTTGGGAAACTGAGATCAGGAGGATCACAGTTTGAGGCTAGCCTCAGGCAAAAAGTTAGTGAGACACCATCTCAATCAACAGCTGGGTGTGGTAGCATATACCTGTCATTCCAGCTATTTGAGAAGTTGCAATATGAAGGACTGGCCCCAACCTACCAGGGCATGAACAGCATTAGACCCTATCCTCAAAATACTAAAGTCAAAACCAAACAAACAAATGCTGAGGATATGGCTCCAGTAGTAGAGCCACCTGCCTAGGAGGAACAAAGCCCTGAGTTCCACTCCCAGTAACATCCCCCATCCCCTAAAAAATAAAATAAAATTTAAAAACCTGGATCTGAGCAGCAAAAGTACATTGTCATTCCATGAATGATACATTAAAGTGGGCTTTCAAACTTTTGTTTTAATATTCACAGGTTCAGATTCCATTGCATGGGATAGGGTGGAGTGTTTTGCATCGGGGTGGATTTGCAAGGCACCCCTGTTCTTGTCCTTTTCTCTGGTTGTGGGGGGCCAGGGCAGGCATCTCTTAGTATTTGGGGCACACCTTTCTGTATCCAGGTCATTGTTAAGTAGCAGTGTGTGTTATGTGCATGCAAGTGTGTGGCGTGTGCACACATCAGCACAGTTCTATCATACCTATGCTACAGTTTGCATGCAGAACATTTCACAGTGGTTTTTCTCTGTGCATTGCTTACATAGTCGTTTTCTCCATCCTCCTCCTGGTCTTTCCCTACTTAGAAACCAAGCTGACTTTCCTGGAATTGAAGTCCTGTGCATATTTGGAATTGTAGCCCTGGCTGAAAACTAAAAGTTGGGCCAAGGGATTAGATGAGAACAGTCGAGGTTGTTGGAGCCAGGCCCAGCAGTGAGCCTGGGTCAGATCCCCTAAGACACTTTAGGGAATCTCCACGCACTGCGACAAGTGCGCATCTGCAAACCAGCCAGAGCCCAGGGCCGCCCTCCCCGCGCACCTCTCCCAGGTGGGCGGCCCTGGAGTCGCAGGTGAGCCACGCGTGTCTCATGCTGGCTTCTCTCCACCCTTGCTCAGGACAACCACGACCGAGAGCTGCATGAACAGAGGCAGCTGCAGCGGCTAAGGGAGCTGGAACAGAAGCGGCGCTCCTGGACGGCAGGAGAGCTGGGGGGCTTTGGCAGGAGCAGCAGCGAGAACGATGTCGAGCTACTGGCCAAGAAGGGCACGGAGGACCTACCCCCTTTCCTGCAGCCCAGACCCATCAGCCCTTCCTACCGGCCCCCCAACATGCGCCGCTCCCGCCTGTCCCTGGGTGCGTCTGCTGACCGGGAGCTGCTGACCTTCTTGGAGAGCACCACCGACAGCTCGGAGGGGCCCAACAAGTTCAACAGCTTGCCCCGGAACAGCGCCCGGCAGCCCCGGCCCACCATGGCCTGGATGGGACCCAGAGAGCCAAAGGACCCCGACCCCGACTTCGCACCCAACCCTCCCGCCTCTGAAAGCCTGGAGAAAGCCCCCGGCCCACCCTCAGCCTGGCAGAGTGCCCCCCAGGCTGCAGAGCCTGCCCCCAGCGTCCCCCGAGCTCGACACGAGGGGGTCGGGGTCTTGCGGAAGAGGAACAGTGAGCCGGCGGGCTTGCGGCCCGCACCCGTCCCTGCGCTGTCGCCACTCGCTCTGGGCGTCAAGGAGCACGAGCTGGTGACCGGGCTGACCCCGTTCGACCTCCAGGGTGCCGAGGCGCCCCTGCCCACATCCCCATTGACGCCGAGTGACCTCAGCCCTGGGGAGCAGGCGCCCCCGGGGCGGGGCAGCGACAGCCCGACCCCCGTGGACGAGGTCCCCCAGGAGAGCCTCCACGCCGCCCCGGAGGGCGCCGGGGCCGCCGCCGAGGAGTCCGTGGGCAGCAGTGACCCGGAGAGCCAGGACCCCGGGCGCCTGTTCTACATCTCGGACACCACCGACTGCTCGCTGACCTTGGACTGCTCGGAGGGCGCCGAGCCCAGGCCCGGAGATGGGGAGAGGGAAGGGAGCGACTCCGTGTCCTCGGGGGCTGGGGATCTGGGGCCCTGCCAGGCTCCTGCGCCCGCCTCCCCGAAAGCCGGGCTCGGCTGCAAGGCCGGCCCGCCCCGGGACAGAGCCCTGCGAGGGAAGGACGCCGCGGCCACGCCGAAGAGGGGCTCCCTCAAAGAGGCGTCTCCGGGGGTCCCCAAGCCCGCGGCCGCCCGGCGCAGCCAGGGGGCGGCGGCGCCCCGGGCCGTGCGGACCTTGACCTCCTGGGAGAGCGAGAGCATGCGCAAGGTGGTCCCCATCTCCAAGTCCAGCCGCGGGCCGGGGCCCGCCCGGGGCGCCCCCCGGGAGCCCCCCCACGGCGCAGACCCGCCCCTGGCACGCCAGAGCTCGGTGCGGGGCACGGCGGACACCTCGCCCCGGCGGCCGCCCTCGGGGAGGCCGGGGCCGGCGGGGGGCGAGGAGCCGGCGCGGGGCGGCCGGCTGCCGGGGAAGGAGGCGGCCCCGCTGCAGCGCAGGGGCTCCCTCAAGCCCAGCGCCAAGCCCCTCAGGAACATTCCCCGGCCCAAGCCCGAGGACAGTAAGGTCTCCAGCTCCGAGAGCCCTGCGGACGAGCCCGGCGCCCCCCGGGGCCCGGCCCCCATCCCCAGCTTCGCTCGAAATACTGTGGCCTCCTCGTCCCGGTGCCTGAAAACCGACGTCCCGCCCGCCGCCAAAGCCCGCGCCATCACCAGGACCGTCTCCCAGCGGCAGCTGAAGGTCAAGGGCGGCCCCGAGGACGCCGGCCCCCGGGACGGCACCCTGAGGCGTGCCAGCAGCGCCCGGGCCCCCAGAAAGTGCCCCGAATCCCCCGAGGGGCCCGACGCCGACAGCCCGCTGAAGGCCAGGGGGGCCAGGGACAGGGCCTCCCTCCGGCTGAAGGACGCCGGGAGGGCCACGCTGGGGAGGATCCTCCATCCTCTGCAGAAGTGATGCGCCACCCCCCCTGGCCGCCCCAGCCCTGAAGATCTGGGGGCCTCCGGGCCGCAGCTTGTCGTGCGCACTCCTGCTGTCAAATCCAGGGTGTGGAAAGCCACCTGCCTCACCTCCGGGGGGGGGGGGGGGGATCCCCTAACCCTCATCCTGCACCCAAGACAAAGGTTCCACCATCCATGATAGACTGGATAGGATGACATTATGTAATAACTGAACAAAAAAAAAGAAAAAAAAATACTTCTGGCCAGTTTTTATATATCAAAGACTTATTTTTTAATATTATAACAATAAAATAATGTTGTAGTTGGTTCCTTTTGCAGAGTGAAATGCCTCTCAGGGGAGAAACCTTATCCTTAAAGTGAAGAGGCTCCTATCTTCCTGGATTTCCAGGCCCCAGACTCCCTGACCTGCCCAAAATTGGCCCTGCATGGGCAGCTGCTCCCCCCTCCCCGAGGCCTTGGGTGTTCTGGCCTTGCCTGTATGTCCTTGTGTTTCTCTGCAGGTCTGTGTGTGAATGAAAGGCGATGTTAGACTTAGGTAGACAGAAATCATATATATGTTCCTGCCTTTTTTTTGGGTGATCCCCAAGGCATCAGCGAAGTGCTTCCTGCAGACGGTGGATCCCAGAACCTCCACGTGCTGTTTTTGGGTGGGAAGACATCAGAGGCAGTGTGGCCGTGCACATGGTCCTCATTTGGTTTCTCCGTTTTGTATCGGTTATAAAGCTGTGATGGCTGCTCTGACATGTGTCTGCCTTGGCTCCAGAACCTCGCGTGCCCCCAGCCTTCCTCCTCTCCCTCTGCCTGCTCCAAGCCCTCCTCTCAAATGTCACTGGTGCCTGCCGTTCCCCCTGGCCTTCACCCTCTCAGGTTCCTGTTCTCAGCGGTACTTTTTTTTTAGTGTTGACATTTCTTCCTTGGTATAGTGGTGGTCAAGTCCCAATTCAAGCTATTTTATCAGAAATTCTTAGGTTTTTTTTTTTTTTTACTTTCATTCAAAAGAAAGCATAAAATCTCCCCCAGTACTCTTTCATGACCTCTCTAGGAAATGGGAGAATGAATAATTGAAAGTTTTTTGTTTTTTTAAAGATTGTCTCCCCTTTTCACTCTGGATCACATATGAGTGAAACCTCATCTTAGATCTGACATTGGTAGGTAGATGGATCTAGGTAAGAGCTGCATTTGTGGAGATCCTGTGATGAATGAAGTAAGAGTCTCACTACTATAGAATATTACTTTTCATCATAATTAGCTTTTCATCGTAATTAATGGAAACCATTGCCATAAGCCATGGCATTAACCATTGAAAAGGCCAACATTCAGGTGGAAGAAATAAGAGCTATAGGCCTCTTGTAGAAATAGCCCTGAGCAGTTGAACATGATGGCACATGCCTAGAATCACAATTACTCAACGGGTAGAGATCAGGAGGATGGAAGCTTGGAGCCAGCTGGAGCAAAATGTTAATTAGACTTCATCTTGAACTAATAAGCCAGGCATGGTGGAGCACATTTGGCACCCCAGCTTTGTGGGGCACATAGGTTAGAGGTGAGGGTCCAGGGCAGGCCTCAGGCAACAACAAAAAAGTCCCTATCTGAAAAGTGAACTAAAACTAAAAGAGCTGGGGCTGGGAAGGTGGCTCAGTGGTAGAGAGCTTGCCTTGCATGCATGAGGCCCTGGATTTGATTCCTCAGCACCACATAAGGAGAAAACGCCGGAAGTGGTGCTATGGCTCCTGTGGTAGAGTGCTAACCTTGAGCTGAAGAGCTCAGGGACAGCGCCCAGGCCCAGAGTTCAAGCCCCACAACTGCCAAAAAAGCTGAGGGTATGGCTTAAGCCATGAATTCTAACCTCACTATCCCCCCAACCCCCAGACACACAAATAGCCCTGAGTGCTTACATCTCTCTCTCTCTCTCTCTCTCTCACACACACACACACACACACTCACACACCTGAACAGGCACATACACACATAATAATAACCCAGAGCAAGTATATCTGGCGCCCTGAGATGCCTAGTGAGGATCTTGTACAGCTTCTCACTGATGTCTTGTTCAATGGTGAGGCAAAATTAGCCTAGACATAGAGCCCATATGAAAGGAATGAAAGCCATCAGAAGCTTGTAGACTATGGGTAGCAAAGAAGGTTGTAGATAGCTGTGTCCTGTGCTGTGTGCCTTTGACAAGTCATTTTTCTCCACCTAAGCATCTGTCCCCAATTCTACAGACGTGAATGTGGCTTCCATGTTGGTTTCTCAGGGTCCAAGTCAGAAACAAGCAGGGAGCCATCTCTCCTGGGATCAGCTTCTCAAAGCCCCTTCCAGCCTTCCTGGAGCTGAGAACTGGTGTACTCAGGTGGCTCAGAGAAAGCTCCACAGAATGTTTGGTGCTGTCAGGCCCAAAAGGCTGAATACTGAGAAGGGGTGTACTCAACTCCAAGGACTACACATGTGCATCTGTGTGTGCAGGTGAGCGATCAATTACCTTTTATCCGCAGTAAGCTTGGGCAAATAATTTAAGTATGCAGTGGAAAATGTAAGTAGGTTTCTATATAAATTTGTTAAAGATGAACTGAATGTATTTAAAAGTCCCATTTATATTGCTTTTATGGAACAGGTAGTTTAATAAAGTTCCTGTGTGTGAGAGTTGCGTTTTATCTTGGCTTCTTCCCTCTGTAGATTACGTCCACAGGATCCTGCAGAGAAGATGTTTGATTTCCTGCCCAGACAGAAGTGGAGATTCAGGAAGTGAGGGAGGTCTGGGTTATAGCAGTCTTCTCTTCCAAAGGGTCCAGAGCCAAAAATGAGGATGCTGGCCCTGGGTTTTCTTGATATGTTCTTGGTATGTATTGATGGCATGACACATGCATCTAATCAAGGGCTTGGGGATGGGCTTCAGTTCCACACCTGTAGGGATATAGGCCCACACTTGACCCACAAGCCAACAATAGAATGTTCATGGGTTTTGTTGTTGTTGTTGTTGTTTGGTTTGGTTTGGTTTGGTCAGTCATGGGGCTTGAACTCTGGGCCTGAGCACTGTCCTTTAGCTCTTTAGCTCAAGGCTAGAGCTCTACCACTTGAACCACAGCACCACTTTGGGTTTTCTGAGTGGTTTATTGGAGATAAGAGTCTCATGCACTTTCCTGCCCAGCTGGCTTTGAAACTCGATCCTCAGATCTCAGCCTCCTGAGAGGCTTGAGCAACCGGCCCCTGGCTGTTCATGGGTTTTTGTTCTGTGTTGAGCCAGCCTCTGTATGATCTCTGTAGGGCTGGCAAGTCTGGATCTACTCCTTCCTGTCCCAATTGCGTTTTGGCTTAGGATACTTATTGTGAAATCACAGCTCACCTTTGGCTGGCTCAGGAATGGGGAGGGAGAGGAGAAGAGAGGGAGAGGTGTCACTACATAGGAAATGCAGTGTTAGCATGCATTTGAAAAGAAAGGTTTGTGTAGGATGCTTCTTTTCTTGTATCTCAGGTTTTATGCCTGAGATCCTAGCTGCTGTATCTGAAAGCAGGTTAGAGGAGTATCCCAGACTCAGACATCAATAGAGGAGACAGCTGGTGACATTCTTGTTTTGAGTTGCTATAAAATCCTTGGACATTTAGAATCTGGTTGTCTGGATTATAAGTACTTTAGGACACTAAATTCCTCATAGCACCTTATTCTTGCTATACCAGGAGTTGCCAACACAGTCCCATCAGTACCACTAAAGTTTGTGGCTTTCCCAGAGGTTCTCAATTACTCTTTTATACTTTGGTTGTCTTTTGCAAGAGATGTGAGTTCTAGCCCTTCCACCAAAGATATGCATCGGATTAAAGGACCTCTGTGTCCCAATACTTGAATTCCCCCCCCCATTCTCTAGCCCTGCTCAAAAAAGAAAAAAATAGATTGGTTTTTAGTGTATGTCCCTAAACACCTCTAAGCAATCAAATATATGAGCCAGATTTGGATAAGAGACATGGCATCTAGTCATTCAGTAAGTGCTTCTTGAAATTACTAGGGCGATAGGGTAAGAGTGCTCAGGCAGCCCAGACAGGATCTGTGGAAGGGCTGAATCACACAACCCAGAGCAACCTCTCTCCCCGAGGGCGTCATCTTCTGCAAACATCTTTCAGTTAAAACATGGCTATGCCTCACTAGACCACCAAAGGAAGGACAGGAGTTGTATTCTTACAGTTGAAGCAAATAGCTTTTCTGTCTTTTGGGCCAGAGCTATGCAATGGAACCATTGGCTTCCTGGTTGGTGAAGACAATGGGACTTCACTGCAGGAAGGGTCATAGCCCTGGACAGTCAGCATTCAGTCTGTTCTTGCAGGACCTTTGGTGAGGGACCTCCAGGAGCTTGGCACCACCCCTCTGCCCACCATCCTGTGGAATGGAGGAGTCTGAGTTTCTCAGTAAGGATGCCTGTGAAAAGATTCTTTGAATAGATTTGTGTGGGCCACTGGAATCATCTGGGCTTTGCCCCTCCCCTCCTCAGGAGCATCTAAGGTCTGAGTGACATCATTGCAAGGAGACGATATTCCCTAGCTCGTTTGCAGTTGCAGTGGAGGAGCTCAGGATAAGCTTTCCCTGAGGAACTGTGGCATGGCTTGTAAGTAGTTTCTCAGGACGACGCCTCATTAGGAAGCCAGGTAACCCCTCTGCTCTAGTCTGAGTGTATATCACCCTCACCAAAAGGAGCACACACCCTCCTTCCAGGAAGGAGGCTGGGTTTGACCCCTAGCCTCCTGAACCATGGATGAGAAGGTGAGGAGGCCACCTTTGTGACCACATGAGTCCAGGCCAGATGGTAGCTGGCAAGTGGACTGCCTCGGGGAGCGCAGGATGTCTGCTGTAGGTAACAAGCTATCCTGGGAAGCTCCAGGACTTGGAGCATCAGCACCTCGAGGTGTGCCTGTCAAATGGAGTATCCAGTATGTAACAGAATCACCAGGTCTGAGCTCCTGGTCCCAACACAGACCCACCAACTAATATCTTTGCTGATGAACCTCTAATTTACCTTATTAACAGATTTC